AGCTTCATAAATGTCTACATCTTTTTTATTTCTCAAAATCAAATAAAAAAAGTGTACATTTTTTTTTAAAAAATAAATATTAAATCTTTTAAAAAATTTGATGCCCAAAAACTTGTTACATATATATATCTTTCATTTGACACAAATAATAGGTTTGTATCTCGATCTCTTCGTTTATAATATTATAATATTATAATATTAAAAACTAACCCGACCATAATATAGAAAAAAAATTTGGTCAAAAAAATGCAATTGTATTATAAAGTCACAATTCTCCGCTCTTTTAGCAGCCACAAACTTTTGTTTTGGTGACATTGATTCATTTCTATTCACAAAACTATCACTGTTCCAAGTTTTAGAATTTGAAGAAGTGTTAGTTCGTGATGTGTACCTTTTTTAATGCTCTTTTTCTTCAATTTTAGAGCATAATGATACATGTCTTCTAGATATGGTGGTGGATTTCTGTCAACAAGATGAGCAATTTCTCGATTCAAACCGTCAAGGAATCTAGACATGGTATCTTCTTCTTCTTCTCTAACATTTGCTCTTTCCATCATAGTTTCCATCTTTTGATAATAGATCGAGCACGAGTTCAAACTCATTGGTCTAATAGTATCGTTGAGAACAATAAAAGTCAACAAATTACCTAATTGACCCCAACGAGTAAACTTTCAGGACCAAAAAGTAACAAAAAAAATAAGAGCACGTTAAGCTATTAGCCGGGGAATTGAAACTACAACGATTAATAATTTGCATTCATCCAAATAAGAACGTGTCAATTTATGGGTATACCATGTACAAAAGAAAAAAAAAATAATAATAATCAAATGAAAGAATAATAGATTGGACCGACCTATGAAAACGAAACGGTCTCTCTGTAATCTATAGTCTATAATATCAAATAATTCATTTTCGTTATTAGTAAATTTATCAACCGCTATTAAATTAATTCTTTTGGGCCGGAGGCCCGTAGCTCCATGACTGGGCCAGCATTTATGGGCTTCAACAATGGATTCATTTTGGGCCGTTGGAAAAGTTGGGCTTCTACCCAAACCTCAACATATGGATTTTTTTCACCTTTTTTTTTTTTTTTTTTTTTTCATTTTAATTATTTTTATACCTTTGATCTATGGTTTTAGATTTCCGAACGAACTTTCGTGCTTACCTTAGATCGTTCTTAACGAGAGCACTCGAAAGAGATAAGAGCCTACCTATTGAGGATTGTTCGGAGGAGTCCCACATTGTCTCCATTGATATGGGTAGAAACCAAAAGCGAAATTAGAGGAGTCAAACCTCGATTAAGGGGAGATTGTTTGAGGGCTCTATAGGCCTCACGGGCACGACGTTAGGTATTTTTTAATAAAATATTAATGAGATAATATTGAAACTTTTAATAATATTTTATTAATTTTAAATTCCACTCCGTTTTATTTATATATATTTCAAAATTATTGTTGCAATAACAACTCGTTAGACTGTTAAATGAAAAATTGACATGAGAGCGACCTAAAATTATATGGGATAACAACACCGTTGATGGCATATAACTCGAGTAGAAAGATTTAACAACTAGTCGTATCGCTCTATAGTATATTATGAGACAAATTGAAAGGGGCTCGGGGCCACGTGCAACATGTCCTAAATAAACATGTCAGTGGTAACCGACATGCTTATTTGACTTAAATCTCAAATGACAACTTTTCATCATGTCCACATTTCACCCAATATTTTAACGAGCTTTCTCGTTATTCAAAGTAGTTTTGACTTTCTCAAAAAGTCAAGATTTTGGGAAGGTGACACCCAGCCATTCAATTTATGATTGTTTATAGCTATTTTCTTGACACCAAGCAAAAATTCGACCCTAAAACTTTTGTCTATAAATAAAAAATTATTTAAATCTGACTCGGGCTCTCGAAAGCTCATGTGTCGTAGGTGCTCTTATGCCTCGAATGCTCAACTAAAATGTCAAACAAAAAGTCAACTATAAATATAGTTTTGAAACATCTACAAAAAGTCAAAGGTAACATAGCGAAAATTGCACGTATTTTTATATAATTAATTTAGTACCCAAAAAAAAAAAAAAAGTCAAAGATGGGTAAGAATCACATGGCTTAAGCAATGCAATTGCAACAAGGAACCATAGATTGGTGGAACATAGGTACAGTTCGTTACACCAAACTTATTTGTTCTTGTGGCCCTAAACTTCTTTAATTTCTTTTGCAGACCTCAACTTTATCGATTTTGCATTCTAACCCCCAACTTTATCGATTATTTTTAATTATAACAGCAATATATTAAAGTATTAATTCATTCTTGCAAATAAAAATTTATTAAATAAATATAATTACTTATTTATCACTAATATTAATTAATTAGTCGATAACATCTAAAATGTATTTAACAAGTTAATTAGTATTAATTAGACTAAGCTAGAAGAAAAATTTATCTCTCAATAATTCAAATTAATTAGCTATTATTGAATGAATGAGTCATTTGTATTAATAAGATAATTTACACGTTTTTTCAATACACACTATTAATTATTCAATTAAATATTTCTTTGATTATAAATTAATTAATAATATTGTTTTCTTAATTAGTCTATTAAAATAATATAAAGTTTATATAATTAACCCCTACATAAATTGTTTTTATAATAACATCTTATGACAACAAAATATAATAATATTTATTTATAATAAAACATATTATTTTTAAACCTTAAAAAAAACCATTTTAAAATAATGTTTTCCCAAATAATATACATAATGAAAATAAATATATATTTTTTTATCTTTTAAAATAAAAAATTATTTTAAGTAGCCCATACAAGAGTAATATTTTAAATAAATAAATAAATATATATATATATTTTTTTCCCTCAATTATATAAGATGGGGAGGGGTCCAAACGCACGAGATTCACGTAATAATAAATAATTATTTAACGAATTTTAATATTTTAAAAATAATTAACAAATGAAATCTGGACGTTTGTGGATTTATTTGAAATTAACCTTTATTTTTTTTTTCTGTTATTCAAAATTTAATATTTATTATTATTAAAAATTATAACTCAAGGCATAATTATTTAATTCTCTATTTTTATTTTTTTAAATTAAAGTTTATGATTTTTCATATTAATTTATATATCTAATAGTTTTTTAAATTTATAGTTGCTTTTGGTATTTTCCCGAGCCATCTAAGTCGAGTTGAATTGGCTTACTTATTACGATCACGAAAGCTCAACAATCGATTATTTAATAATTAATTATAATTAATTATACATAAGATTTTAGAAAAAAATTAAATAAAACGCTAAAGTTTAAAATATAGTAAAGTGGGATCCACAAGAACCAATAATTGTTTTTTATTTTAAAAAATCAAACAATAAAAGGGAAATTGAATAAAATAAATTATGGGATAAAATTTAAGCGATAAGTTGAGATTTTTAAAAAAAAAAAATTTTTAAAAATTTAATTTAATTTTGGCATCTTTCGTATTTTGTCTTCTTTCTTTCTCGAATCGATATAACCTCTCTTCGGTGGAGAACGCAGATCAGAAAAGTCCAGTAAATCTTCAGCCTCTCTTTTTCTCTCTGTTTCTTATCAAGGTTCCGGCGATGGCGGAGGAGAGAGCGGTTTTCGATTGCGAAGCGGCGGAGAGAGTGGTGGCGGAGGTGAGGGAGAGCTATAATTCCGGGAAAACGAGAAGGTACGAATGGAGAGTGGAGCAAGTGAAGAATCTGTTGAAATTGGTGGATGAAAACCAGAGAGAGATGATCGATACGGTTCATTCCGACTTTTCCAAACCCGAATTCGAAGCCTTCGCTCATGAGGTTCGTCCGCTTTTATTTATTTATTTATTTATTTTATTATTATTATTAATTTGAAGAATGCTTGATTTTAATTCAATTTTAAATTTTAAAATTTGATATTTAAGTAACTATTAATTGATAAAATCTTTAAAATACTCATTGGTTGGATAGGATTAGATTTTTTTTTTTTTTTTTAATAATTTGAGTTTGGATAGAATTTTGGAAAATCGTCAACTTCTTCCTACCGATAGTTATGTGCAGTAAGCCATTTTTGCTTTCAAAATTCTCTGCCCCGTTTTCGAAAACTTTCTTCTTGAATCGAGGCCAGAGGCTCGAGCATACGTCGTTTAGCCACAACAATAACGAATAGACTTAACTCACTTGTTGACGAGGGGTGAGTATGCACAATCGCAAGTCTGCTGCCATCAAAGTAGGATTGTGACAAGAAAAAATGGATTAGCTGACGTGATGACATTTTTATTGGTTGGGTTGGGGTTGACTCGGTTATAAACCCAATCATATTATTAAAAATATTATAAAATCTGAGAATATTTTACGATATTAGCAATGCAGTATAATTTGTGACGGTTTGATATTTGAATTAGTTTTTAAAATAATAATAAAAATTAAAATAACCCAACAACTTAATCTAACGGAACAAAAAATTAGAGTATTGAGTTCAGTTGTGAACTCCATTGTGTTCGAGTCAATCTAGCCGAACAAAAAATTAGAGTATTGAGTTGAGTTGTGAACTCTATTGTGTTCGGGTCAATAAACTCAAACTTTAATTTTGAGTTAACCTAACTCGGGTAAGCATGAACTAATTTTAATTATTTTCATTCAAAAGCTTATTTGCAATATATTATAATTTATAAATAGTTTTCTTTTATTAAATTAGGGTTGAAATTTCAATTTTTTTTTTGGAAGATGTACGTAAATATAGTTGTCATGAAAAAGAAATAATTAATTAATGCCAAAATATTTTATTTATTATATAATAATTAAAATATTAAATTTAAGATTTAGGAATTATTATATTAATTAAATTAATAATAAAGTGGAAATCAAAGAAATTATGAACTATACAAAAGCGGAAGAGAAACGGACAATCGGGCGGCAAGTCTGAGAATAGAGACGGAAACGCTCCATTATTAAGCGCGTGAAGTACACGATCTTCTTGGTGGCATCGCGAATGGAGAATGGAGGATGATCAATGGCTGTGTCGTAGAACTGCGGAGCTATGCAGAAAGTGAGAAGATGGCACCTCGATCTTAACGATTCTCTTGCTACCTGATGTCACTCCGATAATTCATTCTCTCATCCAAGGATCAGTTGAATCTCCATTCCTTTCCTGCGAATCCTCTCTCTCTCTTTTTTTTTTTGGGATATACTGATAATCCTCGGCGGCGATTCGCAATGTCGGATACGGATACGGATACGGATACGGAGACGGAGACGAAGGCGGAGGCGGAGGTGTATGACGCGTCGATGCAGGTGAAGGAGTTGAGAGAAAGTTTTGCCTCCGGAAAGACTCGGTGCTATAAGTGGAGAGTTTCGCAGCTTGAGAGTCTCTTCAAGCTTAGCGTTGTTCACGAGGAAGATATCTGCGATGCGCTTCGCTCTGACCTATCCAAGCCTGTGATGGAAGCCATTATTCATGAGGTCTTTGTTCTTAAACTCGACTTCTTCACTGTTCTGATGATCTGTCGTTTCTCGTGTTTAGACTATTCTTTTTTTAGCGTTTTCTCGTTACCTCCAATGATTTTTGTTATCAGAGTCTCGTTAGATTTGTGAATCTTGTGTTTAATCCTGTTCAGAAATGTTCCGTTCTGTTATCTGTGCTACTTTCTGGTGGTTGAATTAACGAACAACACCTGTTTGTCTAAATGTCCAATCCTTCGAATTCCTGTTGCCTTTCTCCTCCTGCCAAACTCCCTCACACTCACCAAATACATGTTCTCACAGTTGCAGTTTGTGTGTGGGACCACTGATCATTGAAGTTACCTTACTGATGCCATTAATGGAAGGTATTTATTAATGCTCAGTCCATGCTTCAACCAGATTTCAAACTTAGAATTTCTCATTTACTAGGCTCGATGACCTTTCTTGTTTCTAGTCAAGTAGAACTCTATATTTATGTCCATTCCAATGATTTGGTTTTTAATACCACATTCCTTCCTTTCTGGTTGTCTTCTCTATTTCCCTTCTTCCCTCCCGCAGAAAGAACCAGTACTCCTAAATCTTCGAGCTATGAAAATAATGGAGACAATATTCTTCGTTCGCCCGAAAATTTTCTTCTCTGTATTACTGATACATGGGTGGTAACAGTAAAAAGTGGATCATGTTATACTTCGAATGGAAGGGGTTTTTCAGATGACAAGCTTCCATCAAATCCTTCTAGGATTACATGTTTCTTTATGGACACTCGATTTGTTATAATTTGGCAAAGGGCCTTTTGTTTCTCATAAACAAAATGGCGAACAGCTTCATCTGAAAATCATGTTTCTGCAACATTTAGAAGCTTCAGGGATAGTTGGTAGGTGACAACTAGGAGGGTTGTGCTTTATTCAAGGAGAGATTCTACAAAGGATAGAAGATTGTTTCGGTAGTGTATTTCATTGGAAATTTTTTCCAATGAAACTCTCAAAATCTCGAGGTAAATCGCTCATTGTTAGGCGACGATTCAAGCTCGATTTTTTTAAAAAAATTTAATTCTTTATATAATTTCCTTATTGATTTAATTAAATTTGGGTGTTACACACTTCAACTAGTTTCAGATTTCCTTTAATTTTTATAGAGACTTCAAAGGTCATGAATTATTGAAAATTGAAACTTTGACGAGAGGAGGATCCACCTCTTTCCCCTGTTTCAGTTTATTATTCCATGAAGCTTCTTTCAGCCCATTTTTTCTCAGATCACTTGAAGTTCTCTTCCCCTTGTGTGGCTTGTTATGCAGATAGCTTTGTTGAAAAATTCATGTAAATTGGCACTTAAAGAACTCAGGCGTTGGATGACGCCAGAAAAGGTATTTGGTATTACAAACTTTCTATTTTTTGTTTCCATACCATTCCCTTACTATGAATGACATTATGTTCTACTACTGCAGGTTAAAACTTCAATTACCACATTTCCTTCGTCTGCTGCAATTGTACCAGAACCTCTGGGTGTTGTCCTGATCATTTCTGCTTGGAATTATCCATTCTGTACGTCAGTGTCATGAAGTGTTTTGTTTATATATAATTGAAAATCATTTGCAGCCTCAAAACTATCTTAAATATTGAAATTATATGCACTAACTATGTCCACATTTTCCAGTATTATCTCTTGATCCAGTTGTTGGAGCAATAGCAGCTGGTAATGCTGTGGTTCTAAAGCCATCAGAAATTTCCCCAGCAACATCATCTTTAATGGCAAAACTTGTAGGGAAATATTTGGATACTTCTGCTGTAAAAGTTATTGAGGGTGCTACTTCCGAAACTTCTGCTTTGCTGGAGCAAAAATGGGACAAAATATTTTACACAGGTTTGTTCCCTTTAGCTTGAAAATAACAGGGCATGTTTGTTAACATCGGGTATGATCATATTGTCTACGATCTATTATATACGTAAAACTTCTTTTGGATTCATCCCGTATGTAGTTATCCATATTGAACCCAGGAAGGTATGATAAATTCAATGAAAGGCCAATAAGCCTCTAGTTTGAGACTTGAGTAATTGGAGGATCAAGCGACTTTAATAGCTCTCTCTCTCTCTTCTTTATCTTCTTCTTTTGGTAGGAAATCAAGATAGATAGGCAGATGGGTGACTTTGATAGTAAGATGAAAAATGGCATATTGGCCCAGTTGATATGGATGAACTTGTAGTAGTTCCTTTATTCGGAAAATTTCCTGTAATAAGTTATTCAGATTTGACTTCCAGGTGTTGAAATTACTTGCCTGTCACATCTATCTTTAGGAATTTCTAATAATATGTGGTGATAGTAGGCAATGTTTATAAAAATAGCTTCTGGCATGGTGGCTTTTCTCTTATTTCCTTTTGGTCAAATTAGCTCTTTCTTAAGTCCGTGGCTTCTAAACTTGCAGGCAGTGGAAGAGTGGGGCGTATAGTTATGGCAGCTGCTGCCAAGCACCTTACACCAGTCGTTTTGGAGCTTGGAGGAAAATCTCCAGTAGTAGTTGATTCACAAATCAATTTACAAGTACTATTTCCTCTCCTTATCATCATTACGTTTGGAGTTCAATTAGCTACGAATGCTACCATGTCTTAGTTGCTAGCATCTTATACAAACTCAAATATATCTGCTTGTCAAAGGTCGCGTGTAGGCGGATTATTGCTGGTAAGTGGGGTTGCAACAATGGGCAAGCATGCATTGCTCCTGATTATATCATAACTACGAAAGGATTTGCTCCAAAATTGGTTAGTTCCATTTCTTGCGCAAATAACTTTTGGTTTGTTGCACTTGCTAAAATTTGGTTCCATCTTTAAATTCATGTTCATATCTCTAGGTGGAGACTCTGAAACAAGAACTGGAGAGATTTTATGGAAAGAACCCTATGGAAACTAAAGATTTGTCTCGCATTGTGAATGCTAACCACTTTGCTCGCTTGTCAAAGCTCTTAGATGATGATAAGGTTTCTGGCAAGATTGTGCATGGAGGTGAAAGGGACAAAGCCAAATTGTATGTTACATTCATCACTGGCCTGTTTTTTTTTTGTTCGTTTTTCAGTTAATAAATATTAGCTGCTAAGGAGCGGTACTGTGTTCATGATGCAGACAGATTACTCCGACCCTCTTATTGGATGTCCCTCGAGACTCTCTGATTATGACGGAGGAGATCTTCGGTCCCTTGCTTCCTATTCTCACGGTAAAACCAACAAACTTAATATTTTTTTGCTTTGGACCAAATTCTCATGTTTTAATATTTTTGTTTTGATCGGGTAAAATAAGGAAACACCCTAAATTTCTTTTGCTTTGGACCAAATTCTTTTAGGCCAAATTAAAAAAAAAAATCCATCGAAAAAAATATCATTGACTTATTTATTGTTCTTTAGTTGTTGGATCCTTAAATGTTTCAAAACTACCTTTACCTAGAAAAATCGTCGTGGAATGTGTTACATGGACTTATCCACACAAGCACCCTAGATACTATCATGTCATTCCATATCATCGCGATGTTATTTTTCATCTAATATTCTAACAAATTTTTACTAAAAGAATAGTTTTAAAACTTTTACGTGGAGTTTATAGTAATATTCTAACTTTTGGAAGAATAGATGCTTTTTTCAACGCCTTAAATTTATTAATTCCTCTCGAAGGTAAAATCTGCTCTTCAGCAATCAATAGTTTTTTTCTTTGTTCGTCAATAGTAGTATAAAAAAATAATTTAATTATATAAATATTCCGGCATATGATTGACTGAAATTGCCAATATTAGGAAGTTGCTTTTTTTGTGTGGAGAATTATAATGGACGATGAACAATACAATCTTCTTCCTGTTTTTTATTTTGGCTGGAGCAGGTCGACAAAGTGGAGGATAGCTTCGAAGTAGTGAACTCGGGCACAAAGCCACTTGCAGCATATTTATTTACCAACAACAAGAGGCTCAAGGACCAGTTCGTAGCTTGCATCTCTGCAGGGGGTGTGGCCATCAATGACACCACCTTACATGTAAGAATTCTTTTCTTTGGTTCTTAATTCATACTAGAACTTGATTGTTGCAATTGTTTTAAGATATTGGCAACGTTGTTGACTTGAAGTTTAGAGTTCTTATCTAGGAAGATCTTTTAATGATTACTTTTGTTGTCAATGGGTGAAATTCTTCATGATTGTTGGCTTAAAACCAAAGATTCAACGTATGATCATATATATGTGCAGCTGACAGTTAGCACACTACCATTTGGAGGAGTTGGGGACAGTGGAATGGGATCTTACCATGGGAAGTTCTCATTTGATGCATTTAGCCATAAGAAGGCTGTTCTTTATCGAAGCTTCACAGGCGATGCGCCGATGAGATACCCGCCGTACACGAAGGGAAAGCTAAGAATTCTCAAGGCTCTTCTTGGAGGTGACATATGGGGTCTCATTCGTGCTCTTTTTGGGTGGTCATAGGCACATCTTCTTTGCTCTTAAGCTTTTTTTTTTTTCATTGTGTGGAGTTAGGATCTTAATAAGTTCTATATATTACTATGATCTATGAAAGTCAACAAGGTTAGGATAGAGAAGGAAGTTAATTATTGTTTATGCAAACTCTAAAAAAACACTTGGGAAATTAAAGTTAAGTTTTCTTTTGTTTTCCATTTCTAAATCCTACCATTTTCTTGCCTTACCCCAATTTAGTTTAATATATATATATATATATATATATACCAATTCTAATTATGGTTTCTTGTTCATTAATAAGAATTGCAATATATATTTTCTCTATTTTTATGTTCAATCCACTAAGATTAATTTTTTTTGCTTCATATATATATATATATATATATTAAAAAAAATCATAAAATAAAGGGAATTCTAACAAACATTTTTAATTAGAATGTATAATAGAATAAGATAAAATGTATAATAGAATAAGACGTAGTCTTGCTTTGGGCTTCCCCAAAAAATCTCATCCCAATGGAGATAGTATTTCGGAGATAATATTCCTGAATCATAAACCCAGATAGTATTCCTTGATTATAAACATAATCATTCCTTAAATTAGAGGGACTTTCATCCAATACCTCCCTAAATTAGGGGGACTATCATCCAACACCTTCCCTCAAACAAAGTCCCCCCTCTAGACTACCTTTTCTTTTGACTTAATCATTTTTCTTTTTCTTTTGACTTAATCATTTTTTACTATGCCTTCGAGGAGCTTCGCTATTTGAAGATTCTATTGACACCCCTATAAATTTTACCACCAAAAAAAAAAAACCTCCTACCCTACCCATAAATTCATGAAATAAACCCTGAAAATTTCCCATCAATTTCTATGGTATTTTCTATTTTGCAAATATATATAAAAGCATTTTGAATGCATTTTTTGTTAGTTTATAAAAATTAAAAAAGAAAATTGCAATATTTAAGCTTTTTAACAATAGTTTCAATAATATAAGTGCTTCCTTAAGACTCTTCTACCAACACAATAATTAAAAACAAAACAAAATGATGGTTTGATTTTTTTTTTCTTTTTTTCTTTTCTTTTTCACTCAAAAACCAAAACATAAATTACAAACAAACTATAGTACAATTCTAAATCTACTAATTTTCTAAACTAAGAATAGTTAGAACCTTCCAAAATTCGACATACGTCGGATCTTTGTTGGTCAGTTAATTCAGTTGGAAACTCGATTAAAAACTTAACTTTCAAGTTGCCTCTATTTGCTTCCTCTTTAAGTTTTGGCATACCTTGACCTTTAATGATCTTCACACAACCATGCCAAATCACGTCATGTGTCCTGAGGCTCATTACATCTCCTCCCAACAAAGGTATTGAAATGGTGCAACCAGTTAGCGCTTTCAGCAAAGGAATTTCCACCGTTAGCTTCAAATCGTCCCCTTCTCTTTTGAAATATAAGTGTTGTTTCTCAACTATCACGAACGATATGTCAGCTGGATAACTACCTGGCCTTTCATTCCCCATTCCTTCAAATGTTATCTTTGTCCCCTTCGTCCACCCTGGCTTCACCCTTATCGTTACCGTTTCTTCTTCCTCTATTGCTTGCCTGTCAATCAACAATGAAATATCTCTACTTTTAGAAGCTACGACGGTATGACAAATTGAATTCGTAAAAAGCACTGAATAAGGCATATAACTTGTCAAGAATCACGGATCTCCACAATACCAATGAAGATACTCCAACCCAACAATCCTCAATAATCCTCCCCTGAGGCCTATGGAGCCCTCGAACAAAGTACATTTTGTTCGACACTTTAGTCACTTTTGACTACACCTTTGAGGCTTGACATTGCTAATTTAAGGGCATGACTCTGATACCATATTAGGATTCGACACTTTAGTCACTTTTGACCACACCTTTGAGGCTTGACATTTAATTTAAAGGCATGACTCTGATACCATATTAGGAATCACAGATATAAGCACAAGTTATCGTGACTTTGCTTTGGGTTTTCCCACAAGGTTTCGTATTAATAAAGATGGTAATCCTGGTTACAAGTCCATGATCATTCCCTAAATTAGCCAATGTGGGACTCCATCCCGATAATTCTCAAACATAACTAATCATCATCGATCTTTTTTTGTTAATTAGAAGTATAATATATTGAACAATATTTTTTAAAATATTCAGAATGGAAATATCATGTATCAATAATCTAAAGAAATTAAGATGTTATATACCGAAAGGGAAAGGGCAATAGGGTTTATGAAGAAGCAGAGAGGACGAACCCTGTGTTCAAGATGACGTCTCTTGTGACCTTAATTTTCTTCATGCATCCAAAGCAGAGCTCCTCCAGAGTGCATTCAAGCTGCTTCTCGATCGGCGGCGGTTTCAGCACACCGGAGGAATTCGAGAACATGATCGGCGTCGTGCTCCTCCGGCTACCACTTTTAGACAGCATTGGAGAAGACGACGCCGAATCGACGCTCAGCCCGCTGTTTAACCGAGACGGCATCGATTCCGTGCTCCTCCTGCTTACGCTCCGAAACTGAGACGATGACGACGGCTGCGGATTTAGACCTCTCCGACTCGCATTCCTGAACATAGAACTATCATAGCTTCGATGCCTGGAAATCTTCGGATCGTTCTCCCTCATACTCCGGCTTGCATATCTAAAGCTCAAACCGCCTTTCTTCGTCATCTGTCGCGGTCCTTCCTTATTAATTTCTTCACGATCCTGAAAACAATGATTATTATCGATTAAACGCCAAAATTTCTTTAAATTAGGGCATCTTCGTCGTTTTACACGCTCGATCAAAATCATCCGCAGATCAATCAATCAAACAATACAGAATCGGAACAAAATAGAAAAATAAATCACAACGAATTCGAATTCAAAATCGTATAAACACGCTTAATCATTAAGAAAAATAAAAAACTACAACATTCAAAGCCTGATTAAACCAGAAACGTAACCGAAGAATGGACGTACCTTAGAAGGTCCATTGTTGTTGTTATCAATGGCGTCGGACGATCCGTCGTGCTTCGAATCAACAACATCGGTATTCTTCTTGGAATTCTTGACCTTAGAATGCCATTTTTTAAAGAAGGATTTGTAGGATTTGCAGAAGTTTCGAAAGGAGACGCCAAGAACTTGGGGAAGATCCACCATGAATGAGAGACAGAGAGCAAGAGATGGAGAAAACAGAGAAAGAAAATAGAACTTTTTGACTGTCCACAAAAAAATTGCAAGGTTACCCAAATAACCAAGTCTTTTTTTATTAAACTCCTTTTTATTTCGGGATTATTCTGTTAATCAATTAATGACGTGGCACCCTTTCTCTTCTTTAAGCTATCTAATTGGATTTATCCCAATAATTATAATTATAATTAATTATTCTATATCACTATAATATAAACTTATCCTTCTAAGCCACATTAATATTTATTTTTAGTAAATAAATAAATATAACATCATTATACTATATACATATGTTTTATTTTTAATAATTTTGTGTGTGTGTGTTTTTTTTTCTTATAATTTAGAATTAAAAATATATTTTAAGGAAAATAAACAAAAATGAAAAAAAAATAATAATGTTGGAATATTTTTTTGGTAAGAAAAATAATTGATTTAACTCATTTTTGGAACAAAGAATTTAAGCTAAATACTCCTAAAACCAATCCAATAATTTAAATTAATTAATACGCTGATATTTTAAATGGATTAAAATACCCTCACTGTTCGCTCGCGTTCATTTTTTCTATAACTTTTGTTATCCACTGTCACAACCCCTGGCAATTAGTTCTTACGACGACCACCACCACCGCCTAGAGTCTGCTCCAATGATTTCGGTGGTGCTGGTGATGGTAACCTTTTAGTTAAGAATTTGATGTTATTAGTTCATAATACTTAATAGTCATCGTTTTATAATAATTGAAGATTAATATAAGCAAATGAAACGTACAAGAAAATGTAACCAAAGAGAAATTAGGTAAATTTTAACATAATATATTATTTTTATCTCTATCATATTCTATAATATTGAAGATTGGAACACAAGTTTAATAGTGGTAGGTTGAAAGGACCAAGTCAACTTTGTTATTAGTCAAATAATAATAAAATAATAATTTTGAAACTTGAATGGGTCGATATTCTTAGCTCCCAATTTGGGCGTTGGGTGTGTATTAAATAATAAATACCCGTTTCTCTTGGTTTGGGTTGCTTACCCCGTTCCTAGCAAACACATTTTAAAACCTTGAGAAGAAGTCTAGAAAAAAAGCCCAAAGTCTAGAAAAAAAAGCCCAAATATGACAATGTCTGCTCGCGGTGGGCTTGGATTGTTACACATGGCTTTAGAGTAAAACTTCGGGTGGTGTGCCAATGAAGACACTCGACCTCCAAGAGAAATGAATTATGAGGTCTCACATCGGTTGGAGATGGGAACGAAACATTGCTTGGATGTGGAAACCTCTCCTAGCAGGCACGCTTTAAAACCTTGAAGAAAAGCCCAAAAAAGACGATATTTACTAGTCGTATGTTTGGGTTGTTACACATCGATTTCTCTCATTGAAGGTGTGTAATGGCTAGAGCATCAACTAGTTGGATTGAAAGAACGAGCCCTTCATTCAAAGTCTCACTTATTATCTAAGGGTCGACCATTAGGCTTGGACTAACCCATCTTCAATGGCAGCCCTAACTAAAGACTAAAGAAAGAGCAATCCGCTGCGCTAGTAAGACTAACCGGGAAGTACTTGACGCTCGTTGAGACCCATGCTTCATTCTGTGCTATTCTAGGCTAAAGCCCCTTATATACTAACAGTAGCAAACTGGGAAGCTCTCTTCCAGTCAATTATTCAAATAGATAGCGGAGCATCAAGTACACTCGGAACAAATCTCAACATCAACATATTCTCGATATTTTTCATAAAACTGAGGGCTCGACATTTCCGTCGACATCGACATTTCAAACCTTCACCTCAACCAAGTAGAACCCAAAAACTAAAAGAAATAAACAAGAAAATGCAGCAGCAGCAGCAGCAGCAATAGACTAGTAGCTAACAATTAAGATGTATGATTGATTGATTGACAAAGCTGCTGCACCTTCGTGCAAAGCTGAAACCATATTTTCACATGTAGTTTCTTTGTAATTGTAGCATTCTTGTTTCTATAGACTAAACCCTGTACAACAAAACTCAAGTACCCTCTTACTCTTCTTAGACTTCCCTTTCATCGTGGGAATCTCCCCCTCCCTCCTCCTCCACACACACATTATTCTCAGGAGATTTTAGAAATTTTAATTTACACTTTTTTTTTTCCTTTTCTTTTTCTTTTTTCATGCTACAAAATTGAAACTTTCATATGACATGAATAATTACAAGCAAACTTACCTCTGAGCTTCATTAAAAGCCGAGTTTGGATAGCTTCGGAGCTTTGTTTTCCAACTCTCCATTCATCATTCATTGTAATTCTTCATCTGATATTCTGTTTGACCAAATGATTTCGATTTCGAGTGTCCGAGAAGAGCCATCTTTGTCTCCATCGTGATTTAGACTGAATAATCCATTGTACAATCCCTCGGTTACAACTTTGTCGATTTGGATCGTCACTCTTCCTAGAGTAGACTGCAAAGGACCAACATTCTTAATTTAGAACAAAGGTAATGAAAGAGAGAAGCGGTATAGCCGAATGCGGCTAGATTCAGGGGTTGTCACTATAGCCGAACACGGGAAGCGGTATCCGTTTGGAAAAACAATATGATGAAATAATTATGATCTAATACTAGTACGGCAGGGATAGTTACCTTGCCAAAAGTGCTTTTGCTTTTGCAGATGATGTGCAGCTTTTGCCCCTTTGGAGGCACATCAAATGCCCAAGTAAATCCTTCTTTCCATTCAGGAGATGTACTGTGGCTAACAACCTGACCATGCCCAGAAAATAACTTTAGCCGAATCCCCACGAACCAGAAGAGAGTGAGTCCTAACATAGCTTACGTACCTTCGTTTGTCGAGGAGGGCCGTTCCCGATAGACAGTCGACAGAAAGCGTTTGTACTTCCCATCGTCTGTTTAAGGTTGTTCCCACGCTTAATAATAACAGTCAGACAACCTGGTAAGCAATGCAAAAGGCTATCTGCTCTGTCATGAAAACTAGGAGGGCAGGTTTTCATGAGCATTTGGAGTATAGGAATGGCCTCAGCTGCAATCATAGCTTGAGACTTTGCTATGTCGATCGGCATGGTCGACCAGGAATGCTTTAGCAAACATAACGTATCCAACACAGTTTCCTGAGCTGCCTCGTTACCCGATGTCAGAGCTCCGATTAGATGAGGTATGGAAAGAGTAGCTGCTTCGGAAATATGGAGTTTCGGAAAGTTGGTGAATATCACATTCAAGGTTCTTAAGACCTCCTCACTGATTGTTGCTGTCGACCACAATTCCCTCTCTAGTGCAGCTGCATTACAAACATACAATGCAACTCATTTTCAATATTAGAAACCAAAGGGAAAATAAAGAGATTTCACAGTTCCAGGCATACCTGTCAGAGATCTAATGAGCTCATTTGATACATATTCCTGTAACGTGTGATTCGAAAACAAGAACTTTATCAGCAATGCAGACTGGATAGAAATTTCTGGACTTGGAGACAAAAGAAGCTCCTGAACGACCAATATTCCACCTGCTTCAGCAACTGCTCGCCTATTTGTTCTACTGTGCATGACAAAGTTTTGCAAAGCACAAATAGCTACCATTTTCATTTCTTCCGTTGCCTCATCTTCAAGCAAGCTTATCAATGCTCGACAGGCAGAAACCGAATCACTGGCTCTTGCATGTCCCACGTGCTGTGACAGATCTCCCAAGGCTAATGTTGCGAGAAGCTTGCCGGGCTGTGATCGGGTCTGTGGATCTAATAAATACTGTGATAAGGGTGCTATGGCATACTTGGAAACCTTCATCTCTCGCACCCTGACGTAATTAAATAAAGTTTCGAGTAATCTTCCAGATGCTTCTTCACATTGATGAGATCTTAGAAGGTCCACCAATGCATCTATAGCACCAGCTTCCGCCATTTGTTCGGCACTTGATGTATTATTAGCTTCGTGATTAACTAAAGCACTGAGAGCCACCGTGATAGTGCTCTCCACGGTCGAATGCAACATTTTCACGAGAACAACTACAGGAACTTTAAAATAGTACTTAGCATTGAATCGCAAAACATTCGACAAAACCGTGGAGGCTGATTCCCAAAGAGCATGAGGAGGCTGAGGGTCCTCTTGTATAATAACCTTCGAAAGCTCGAAAATACCTCCAGCATCCGCAACAGACTTGGGCCAGCTAGTGGATATCTTTTCCAATGCCCTTATAGCTGTTTGCTGTAGATTCAATATTCCAATCCCAGCAAGCTGTACGAGTGGCACAACTGCATTTTTAGTTGTAATATCTTGCTGGAAATGCTCTTGTGCAAGAAGATGAGATAATAACTCTGTGCCAAGCTGCTGGACAGCACGGGATGGGGATTCAAGAAAGGAAATCAGAGGCTCGATAACTTGGCTCGGAGTAAGTTTTAGAGTCAGAAGACTTTGTGGCTTCTCCAAAATATTTACAAGAGCTTGTAAGGCACTGTGCTGCCCCCACAAATTAAAATCTGGACGAAGCAAAACCAAGAAAAGAGGTTCCACGATTTTTGCTGCATCTGAACTCCGAGCAATTGCGTTACTGTTTGTTAAAATGCGAAACAGTTCCGCCACTGAGGAGCATAATGAACTAGGTGCCTCTGGAAGTAAATCGAGGCAGTTATCGATGATCCCCACCTTAACCATATCCATTTTGAGTTGAGTTCGATCTTTTCCCAACTTTATCAGAGAGCATATGCTTGCTTCGATCAATCTATAATTCGTTCCAGAGACCAAACTAACAAGGAGGTCCACAATGTCATAGGGTAAAGTGAGCTCTACTTGTTGCTCATCATCCAACAATCTTTCAAGTGCACATACCCCAGACTCTACTGCTGCACCTGAATCTGACTGCATAAGCATTATGAGTGGCTGTATGCATTCAGAAACAATTGGATTTATTCTTACTTTAATATTACCGAACAGTATAAAACATAGTTCTGCAGCATTCGTCTTCAGCTCCAAGGATGACGACGAAGTTAAAATTTTGCATAAACTGTCAAGCGGGGCTCCTTCCATGTCATTCAATATATCGGCTTTTGAAGAATGTCCTGAAGTCAGTCTAATTAATGCAGCAAGAGCAGCACCTTGCTCACTTTCTGTTGTGGCATTGAGCATGTCAACTAGTGGATGGAAAGCCTGCTTGGCTAGCTCAGAATCTCTGATGTTCTCACAATCAAAAAGTTCAAAAAGGGCCCTTGCAGCGCTGAATCTTGCATTTCTTGACCCAAGACGTAGGACAGCTATAAGTTGATTCAAGGAACTGGCCGATGCCTCATAACGAATAAGTTCGGGATTGCTAAATAAAATTCTCAATAGATCAGATATTATGGCCTCTGTTGAGTCTTGAGGACTCAAAGACAGGTACTTCGTCAAAGCATCTACAGCTCCAGCTTCAGCCATCGTTAATTTATTTGCGTCACTTCCATCAGCAATACGAATCAACAGCTGAACAGCAACAGGAGGAGCACCAGGTCTTTCTGGTAATGGTCTCAAAAGATCCACAAGAAGAGGTATAGTTTTGCGTGCAGTTGACCCAGTTCTAACATCTTCAATTTCAAATAGATGCTCGAGAACAACTTGATCTGGTTTCCGTGTCAAAGAAAACTCATCCGCCAAAGCAACAAGATTTGGCATATCCGACTCCACAAACCCAATTAGAGAAATTAACCCAACAATTGCACCAGAATTTGCAATGGCAAGATTTACTCCTTTGCTACCATTACAAACAAGACTTGCCATTGCCTGCGCAGCAAAGAATTTATCATTCACTTCCTCAGATCTTGCAAGAAAGGCTAGTGAAGGTATAATGCTCATGACATCAGGGGACGAGGCAACATCTGCATCTTGGAACAAGATAGCGAGAAGCAGAGAACTGACCCATATACCCTCCATGTCCTCCAATTCTGCCTGCTACGATAATTCCCATGTCAAAATTATAAGAATCCCATTTAAGACAAAAGTATAGCAGCTAGACACTTCATGCAAGTATGTGCACCACTGCATACCCTAGCAATGATAATTTTGTTTAAAAGATAAGATGTTCATTTTGAGTTGTTATTCTTACTCGATCGAATGGAAAGAGAAAAAAAAAACTATTTACAAGGAAAGGCATCTCCTTGAGAATGACACTTTTGGTTTAAAAGAGCTAAGAAGCTTAGATTTGATGTAAATGCCGGCAGGATACATTCCATTAGTATCAAATCAGTTCTTTCAGGAAAGAGGAAAAAGGAACACTAAAATATTTTCATTACATAAGAGCATACTTTCACAGATTTGGATAGCAACGGCAGCAATAATAAGAACTTCAGTTTGAATGAATAATAATTTTTAAGGGGACTGGACAATTTAAGTTAACAAATGACTTGCCTGTGAATTAGAAGTATAGCTAGCAAGCTTGTCAGACACGGCCTCAGTTCCTCCAGCTTCCAGAACAGCTACCTTGTTCTCCACACTAAAAGAAGCAATTATTGACAACAACCAGAGGGCAATAGTACCTCCCATAACTGTGCCTGGGTCAGGGGCATCAAACCTATCTCCTAGGAAAGTAGTTCGTTTCGTAAAACTTCTAGGGGTTCTAACTTCAAAGTCTAAAGAGGAACAAGCAGAATTTTGCTTGATCAAACCCACTAAAGCATATATAAGCGGTTTAAGACATCCGAACAAGTCAAGAGCTTCCACTGACTGCTGTTTGTGCTCCTTCATTGCACAAATGAGTAAAGCAGCCCCTCCTGATTTTACTTCTGGACTTGAAGAGGTTATTATTTTACTGGCAAGAGAATCAAGTGATTTTGCTCTTGCAACTAACAAATCGCCTAAAATAACAGGTTGGTCTCCACATAGTCTTGATAAAATTTCTATCACCTTGTCCTGCATTGGAGATGTTCCCTCAGCAAGACAGTATACAAGTGGTTCCAAGCTTGAAGGAACCTCAGCAAGGGCAGACCATGGTGTATAAGCCAAGCTAGCTCCAAGCTTGGTCCTAACTAAGAGTGAAATTACTTCTAAAGCATCCGCAACATTATTCCCATCCATATCCGTAGACCTTAAGAAGTCAACTAGAGCAAGGACAATGAAACGACACTGAGTTTCGTTTGCAACCACATCACCAAGTGGAAAATGAATCAACAATTGATGAAGGGCTTGAGCTGCACTCTTCTTACCAATTGGAGTTCCTTCTCCAAGAACTCTCGTTAGAGCTGAGATTACATCTTCTGCCAGAGATTCAGCAGCTATTTGAGAATCAGACAGAAGATTGGCCAGGGCAGCAACTGCAGTTTCAGCAGCATCAACAGAAGATGTTTTAGCCAACTTAATCAGAAGCTTGACGTCCCCTTCTGCAATATGGCACACCTTATTCGTTGCTTTTGTCTTGCTGGGCCGGGAGAGGGCAGCCAGTGCCCGAGCTGATTGAGTGGCAACGTGAGTATTGCTGGCCAAGAGCTTCATGCAAGGATGTACAATCTCATCAGTTGCAAGACTATCGGAAATATCTTGCCTTGTGCTAAATAAGTCTGCTAGAACAGAAGCAGCATGGGCTTGAGTTTCTTCATTTGATGAGTTAAGAACTTGAACAAGTGTTCTCAGTCCTTTACTAGCTGCAGAATCTCTTTGTACAAAATCCTCATATGATGCCATAGTAAGCACGTGACCTAAAACTTGAATTATATTAGCCTTTTCTTTTGGAGAATCTCCTAAGAGCATAGCTAATAGCTGATTTATAGTAGCAGAATCAGCAGTTTGGACAAGTTTTGTAAGTGCCATGGCTGAGGCTTCCTGGCCCCTTGATCCACCACTTTTTAAGAGCCACAAAAACGCTGGGATGGCACCTGCACTTTCAACACAGGCTCGAATATCTTCACTATGGCAGCACAAATTCCATAGAATATGTGCTGCATCCTCCCTTGCCTTATGGGAGCCTGTCTCTAATAACTGAACCAATGGAGGAATTCCACCAGCAGCAGTGATAGCCCACTTGCTGTCATCTACCTGGTCAGTCAAGATTTCCAGCAACTGAACAGCATATTCTTGATGTTGCTCACTTGATAACCCCAGTAATGATATAAGTAACTGAACCCCTTCTCTCTTGCCAATGGCTTCCCAGATGCCAACCCCACTGCAGCATAAGCTAGTCAGAGATGGTATTAGGTACTCTTGCACATCAGGAGCAGCAGTGGTTACAAGTCCAATAAGCACCTTTTTTGTTTCTGCGTGATTTAGACATTTTGAGAAATATATATTACCATATAGACAAGCCATAGCTTCAAGGACACGCTCCTGAACTAACTTATTATCGTGAGGCTTTAGTAGCATTACAAGAATATCTTCTATCTTGGTAGCATTAAAGTGTTCTTCATCACAGGACTTCTCAAAAACCATTAGAGTGTATGCAAGTGCTCCAACTATATCAGCAACTGGTGCATAAAGGCGAGGGGACTGTGAAAGTTCTCCAAGATAGAGTACTAATGCAGACATCCCACCACAAAGATTGGCCAATGCTCGTGTTGCATGCTCCTGCAGAGACTGGCCATGCTTACCCTGCATACACTCTTTAGAAGGGGCAACTATTGCCCTGATAAGTACTGGAATACCTTCCTCGTCCACAATTGCTTTTTTGGCCCCAGTTGACTTCGATGAGAGAGCCTCCAGAGCATCAGCAGCACTTGCACGGACATAAATATCATTTTTCTTACTTATAAGCCCAAGCAAAGCCTTCACAGCTCCAGATTCTATAACCTTAGCTACGCTATCACTGAAGGCCAACATCAGGCGTGCTAGAAGAGAAGCTGCATTTGACTGAACTGCAGCACTGTCAGAAGAAAGAAGATCGACAATGATATCCACTCCTCCAGCCTCAAGTGTTGCTTTCCAATAACCATCCTTGTCTCTGCAAAGATTTCTCAAAGATCCAGTAATGAATCCCTCTACAACTTTGTCTTGCCTATTGTTTGGATTTAGTTGGTCCCATAAGGTGGGTACAACACCTTCTGTGACAAATATCTTCATACCAACGCGGTCATTCAAAAGCCCATTTGAAGAAACTTCATAGATTGCCTCAGCTGCTGCCTTACTAGCCTCAATCGATTCAGATTTCAAGAGTGAGAGCAATGGTGGGATGCACCCACCAAGAAGCACTTTCAAGCGCAGTTCGTCATCTTTGCATAGAACACTTAAAATTCTAGCAACATTAACTTTTGCAACAGAAGACCCACTTCTGAGGACATTGATGAACAAAGGCATGGCTTGAGAATGAGAACCAATGAGTGTTCTAGCATCCTTTTGTGTTCTAGCAATTCCCAGAAGACGTGCTGTAACAAGGTCTTTCTCGTGTGACGAAGACATGCTTGCATGAAGTTGCTCAATAAGCTGAGCAACTGTCGCCATTGTAGTTTCTGGATCATCCATCGTTCCTGCTCCATTATTTTCCCTGCTAATTGGAATTTATCCATGCTCAGTATCTTATAACGATAACTTTCATTTTAACAAGAACAAGATATATTTTACCTAGAGTCGATAATTAATTGGCACTTACCTACAGTTGAGGAAATTACTTTTACACAGTTCGCCATGCTTTCCATTAATAAGAGCAACTACAAACACACACACATAACGGATAAAGAAACCGAACTTACCGAGGGCTAGAAGTAGAAGGTGATAGGGACTCAATTTGTTCTATGGCAGGGGACTTCGACATTTCATGAATTCACTGCCTCAGCTTTCACCCTGCTCCCCTGCAAGTTGAAGCATAAATCCTCAAAACTCCTCAAATTAATTTCATTTTACAGAACCAGTTACAAAAGCAGTGATACACTCATAAACGAGTTTAAACTACAAATACCCACCAGAAATAACTCAAAAATTCAGACAAAATATCATAAGGCGTGCATGCACACATGATTAAAGATCAAATTGAAATCCAGAAATGTTGAAAGCTGAAAAAATACTCTTCGATAGCCATGCTTAACAATCTTGAGCATCGATAAGTTCAGATCCGTAACTAAACGATATAGACATTACAAACAGAACTTCAGCTCAACAGCAATAAAAAAAATAAATAAATAAAAAAAATAACAGAACAGAGTTCCAAGAAAATCAAGTTAACTAACACGAACCAAGTAATCGAATAAGCAGATGCCCAAAAACTTCCCCCTTCCACCACGCGTCGGAGGCCGCTTCTCCCGAGCCAGAAGCATCAAATCTCAATTACCGCACTACCGAATTCAATTCCATCTTCAAATAGCGAAAGAAGCAATTTCGTTGCCAAATAAAAAATCGAAGCAACCGCACTGAAGTTCGATCTCTCCCTTACAAACCAAACACCAGAAAGAATCCCAGTTGAAAAACAGCAGCCGCAACAAGCAGATCAAAGCAGAATCAGCAAAAGATCTGGCAATCTCAGTAGCTCAATTCCTTAAAACAACCAAAGAAAGAAGAAATTGAGATAACAACTAGAGATTTTTAATTTCAATTAAAAAATTGAATAAAATAAAGTACGGAGATCGGATCAGAAGTAGCGTCACAGAATCTAGGGCAAGAAAATCGCCATTTTCAAAGTGGAAAAGGAATGGGAGAATTGAAAATGTACCTGAATTTGGGGGTGATGAACTGGGAATCCTCTTATTTGTGAAGAAGCTGAATCAGAAAAACAGCAGTCAGAGAGAATGAAGGCAGTCTCTAAGTCTTAGTCTTTTCGCTTCCACTCCTCCATGTGTGCAGTTTTTTTTTTTCTTTTCCTTTTTTTTTAATATAATTTTTTAATTAGTGAAAATAATAATAAATAAATGAATAAAAAAAATTTGTCATAAAAGCGCGGGTGATTGGGAATCAGTTGCAAGAGGAAACGCTAATGACAATAAGCCATTGCCCCACGCACAATTTTTTTTTTTTACAATTATTTTTATCCTAAGTATTTTAATTAATAAAAACAACCTTAAATTTTTTTTAAAAAATTCATAATTGTTTTGAACCTTAAAATAAATAAATAAATACGTCGAAAAATCAGTGTTTCAAAAATAACCTTGAACCATAAAAAAAAATGTAAATATCCTTTATAAAATTTAAATCCCAAAACTATTACATGTTTCGCCATGATCGGCCACCTATTGCATTCCTCTCGGTATTATAATATTTAAATTTAATTTTGTCACGATAAAAAAATAAAAACATAAAATATAAACAAAAAAAAAAATAGGAATGGTACGTATAATTTAGAATCTGAATTTTTAAAAATATATTAAATTACATTTTTTTATAAATAAAATTTTAAAATGTTAATTCTAGCCGGTACAAACTTATAATTTTGTTAATTAAAGTTCTAAATTATTACGCAGTTAATTTAAACTTTTTGATTTCAAAATTATTCATATTTTATTTAAAAATGGTCAATTATTTACGAGTTTAATTGATATAATAATAAAATGAACAGACAATTATTAATTAAGAATTTTTCTAGATATAAATTAATTTTTTTAATATATATTTTATTTTGATAGTAATTAAAGAGGAAGAAAATATTAATTTTTTTAATAAAAAAATAAAAAAATAATAATGAAAATATAGAATATTATAAGAGGGTGCTTGCATTATTAGCTTGCGTGTCTACCATAAATAATATAATATTAATTGCCATTTGACCAATAAATTATATCAATTATTTATATTTGACCCATAAAAAAAACCTTTACTTGCCATTTAATTTATTATTATTTTGATCCTAAATATTTCTCATAAAAATATCTCATTATTTAAACAAAATATCAAAAGTCATGTCGAAATGAAAATACGTCAATTTTAAAATTTTCATAATTCTTTTTTATTCTTGTTACCTATCACTGTCTCTCGACAGTAAAAAAAACATTGAAGGTTAATTATTTTAGACGATCAGTAATTTACGTTGGAATTTTGTTCGATTCTATTTTTATTATTTAAAAATTTTTATTTTAATTTTAAATGCATACAAAAATATTATAATTTATACTCGTCTTCAGACAAATGCTTGATTTAGTTTTCGTCCATACTCTACCATAAATTTATTAATAGCATTTAAAAAATGCAGTTGGAATATAATTAAAAATTAAATAATACAAAAATTAAGAGTATAAATAATTTGTACAAGTTTAATTTAAAAAAATTGTAACAAAAAAACGAAATAATATTTTAATTAAAAATATTTTGTCAAATCAGCATCGCATCAATATTTTGACTTTTTACAAAATATTTATTAAATACATTCGTCGGTAAACATTTTAAATTAAATAAAAATAAATAAAGAGAATTTTAGAATATTTTTATAAGATAATAAATTAAAATAAAACCCTATCCACTCAAAATAAGCTTTTAATCTTTAATTGAATAAAAAATAAAAAAAAATAAAAATGGTCATAAAAAACAAAATTTGTGGCAATAAAATAAATAATTAAGAGATGGAAAAATGGGGAAATCATCGATAAGAACCTGGCTTAGATTTAGTGGGCCTCTAGAGATACTATAGGATGTCAATAAATATATATATATATTTTAATCATCTTATTTTCAGAATCGCTCTCATTTAAATATTTTTTATTTTTTTTTAATATTACAAAATTTTATAAGATAAATAATATAAAGATTATCGAGTAATTAATGAGAGACCTTCCTAATTAATTATTTGACGATTTCATTAATATATAATAATTGAAAAAAAAAGGTAATATGAATATTAAATATCTCAAATTTAAATATATGGGATAATAAATATATATAATTTAGGTATTAATATAATTTTTTAATTTTAATTAGATAATAATCGGATCAGAACCATTTAATATTTAAATATTGATATTAAAATTTTGTGTTAATTTTGTCCATCAAAACTATAAAAAAAAACATGACAGATCAGCAAGGGATGTTTTTTTTTTTTTGAGAATTGATCTTTGAGAATCTTGCACACGTGTCAATGTTGGACAACCATCCATCTGCATAAATTTATTCCCTATTAAATTACTTTTGACCCCATGGAATTGACCATACAAAAGAATTAATAATGATGAAAAAGAATACCCTTTTGGGAAAAATTAATATTTTACTTTTCTATTTACCGTTCTCCTCTCGAGAGGTGGTGCTTTACTTGGAATAACGTATGAATCGATCAATGATACATTTGTTATTGTGACGATATTCTCGTGGAGGGTAAACAGATCAATATAGATATGTTATCTCGAGTCTAGATGTTCACGTGGCAAGGTAGGAACGGGTAAGTCATCAACAAAAATATAATATAATTTATAAAAAAAATAATAAAAAAAATTTAATATTAAAATATATATATATATATAATACCCATCTCCCACCCCATTTATCTGATGGAAAGAAATCTCTCGTCACTCTCTCTCCATTTTACGTTTAAACGAGGATTCCTCACCCATTGAGGAAGCTTCACGTGAAGCCCCGACCCTATAGAGTAAATGGACATTTCTAATCTCGAGCTATGAGTGGTATATATTTTCATGAATTATTTGAATTAAAACTCAATTTTATATTATCTAAATCTCGAATAATTTATTGATTATCACTTTCAAAACGTGTAGGCTTTGAAACTAACATTAATTTTGTTATTTAACGAAATTTTCACAAGACTAAAAACTCGAACCTGCCTTCTAAACGGACCCGTATTTGAACACACGAGTTAAGTCAATTCCGATCATAAAAGCTCGGGATTAAAACTCGAGCGACCTAAAAAATACTCTTGACAAAAGAGATGAAGGGTAAGAAACAAAAGGGAATGAAGCAAAATGGAGAAAAATAATGAGAAGAAACCAAAGAAGGAAAGGGAAGAGGGGCCATTCATTATCGGAAAGGGATGTCTTGTCGAGTGTCCCCCCAATCGAATTGAACGGAGTGGGGTCAAGAAAGTGAGCCAAAACGGCATCGTTTCATTCTCGATTGCGACATTTCCTCTTTAACCTACCCATCGGAATTTTCCTAAACCGTGCATTTCTCAATCACGAGTAGGTATATCAGACATGACGACATTTATTACACGAGCAATTATATATAATTTTGTAATAGTTCAAGTCCACCGTTAGTAGATATTGTTTTCTTTGACCTTTATATATCGTTTTAAAATTCGTCTACTAGGAAGAGATTTTTACACCCGTATAAGAAACGCTTTGTTCCCCCTTTAACCAATGTGGAATCTCACAAACTACCCCTATGGGGTCCTAGCGTCCTTGCTGGCACCCTACTCGGTGTCTGGGTTTGATACCATTTGTAACTGCACAAGCTCACCACTAGTAGATATTTTTTGTAGTGGATTTTCTGCATTTTGATATCATTTGTAATAAGCGCACAAGCCCACCACTAGTAAATATTTTCTGCATTTTGATACCATTACATAAGTCCACCAGATATTTTTTGCATTTTGATACCATTTGTAACCGCACAAGCTCAACACTAATAGATATTTTTTGCATTTTAATATCATTTGTAACAGCAGAAGCCCACCACTAGTAGATATTTTCTGCATTTTGATACCATTTGTAACAGCACAAGCCCACCACACCACTAGTAGATATTTTCTACATTTGTCTGTTGCGTATCGCCGTCATTCTCACGGTTTTAAAACACGTCTATTAGGGATAGATTTTCACACTCTTATAAAGAATATTTCGCTCCCCTTTCTAACCAATGTAGGATCTCACAAACTTGGTCTCAATTTAGGTTATATGTGCGAGCAATGCATTATAACCGCGCATCGGTCACCATTCAACCGACCACGACTAGCCGTTACCAATGTTCATAGAAAACATGCTCGTGGTAATATGCTAAAAATACTCTCGAGCTACAAGTATACCAAGAATCTCCTATAGTTGATCATATTTGAATTTCTCGTGTGCACTCATAAACGTATTGGGCCGTTTGGGCCTATTCACAAATGCTTGAAATGGGCCGTTATTGAACTCAAAAGGCCCATTATCGGTTCTATTAAATAAATATTAGGCTTCCAAATTTGAAATAAGATAATACCCAGAAATTAATATTTTCTATCCAAGGCCTTAAAATATTTAATAAAATTACAAATTTAGTAATATAAAATAAATAATTATGATATTTACTTTTATTATTTCGTACTACTTTTATATCTGAACTTTTAATTAAATTTAAATTCCAAAAATATATTCAAACAATATTAAAAACGTTTTCCCATTATTCGCACGTTTGACAAAATATATACACCCACATAACACGTGCTAAAATCGCTCATCGCTACAAATACATGTCGGTTCCGATCTCCGCCACAGCCGCCGCCGCCATCGCGGTTTTCGATATCATCGTCACGGCGGCTATCGACGGGGCAATCCTCGACCGGCACAGTGATCGACGAGTGTGCCGTCGAATATCCGAAACTGACGTTTAGATCAACTAGACGACACGTCGAATTCAAAATGGCTTCTGAAGGTACATGAACATATCCTGCAATGGCGACATCTGATTTAATATCGGAAACTGCGAACAAAACGCGTCCTCCAGTGAAGCGTCCAGGTAATTGAACGTGAATCCAGAGTACTCTTCCTTCAATCTCGGCTGGCTCTGAACCTCGCTCGTGAACTCCGACGACACCACCTGCTCGGAGCTGCTCGAATCCGTGTAAAGACGAGGAATCGAATCCGATAATTCGAAGTTTATGTATTCGGTCATCACGTCGGACGACGGCGACTGAACTCGGCCGGAAACGTTGATTACATCCGGCTTCTCTTCCTGATCATCGTTTTCCATGAATCCGATTGTGTTCAATTCCGGCGAGTTTATTGAACCGTGGTGCGGAGGTTGCTTTTCGATTACTCCTTTTTTGTTGTATATGCGGCAGAGCACCCAATCGTCTAACTGCAAAATTAGGGCTAATCTTAAAAAACAGAGTCCCAAAATCAATCGTCTAACTGCAAAATTAGGGCAAATCTTATAAAACAGAGACTCGAAAATCAAGAACAATATGAACTATTCCGTGAGAAAATACCCTAAGACTGTTCTTCTTGCGAGCCGAGGGGTCCGAATTAGCGAGCCGGTACTCGTGCATGATCCAATTCGTTTTCTCGCCCTTAGGAGCTTTCCCGGCGTAAAACACCAACGCCTTCTTAATCCCGACGGCCTTCGGCTGCCCGATCGGTTTATCAGCGCCGGTCGCCTTCCAGTAACCACTACCAGCAGCCCTGTTCGGCCTCGAACCGTTCGGATACTTCCGATCCCTCGGCGTAAAGAAGTACCACTCCTTCTCTCCATAAAAAGCCAGCCCTATAAAGAAACACAAAATTAATCATCGGCGGCCGTCAAACTCCGATCGGAATCAATACGATTAATCTCCATCGGAGTTTATAAAAAGAAAATTACCAGGAAGTTCCCAAGGGTTGTATTTATACAGATCGATTTCAGCAATGATCGGCGCCGAAATCGGATGCGATGCACATTTACGGCACAAGTAATGCATCACGAGTTCGTCATCCGTCGGATGAAACCTAAATCCCGCCGGCAACTGTAAATCGGCGGCCATAATTCTCTCTCTCTCTCTCTCTCTCTCTGAAAGCTCTGGCGTCTGCGGCGATTGAAACTTAAAACGCATGAGAAAGAGGCGGGCTTTATAGACGAAGAAGAAGGGACACGTGGTTTCATCATAACAAAGCTTTTGAAAGACACGTGGACGGTCATATTTTCCGTGGTCCCATCTGTGGCAGTGCTGGCGATAGAAGTTATTTGGTCATTACTTACGAAATGCTTTTGGACTGTAGCGCTTGTTGAGTCAGCCGGGTCGGGTCTTTTTTGGGACCGCTTTTTTGAATTCGGTACGATTATGAGAAGATCACGGGCAAAGTCGGCCAATTGTTTTAACGGTGGATTCATATGACACGTCTTTCCACGTGTTCCATTTCTATTGGATAAGATTGATGATACATATATTTCCACGCTGCTACATTATTGGATATTTTTTAGAAAAATGTTGATAATGTTATTAGTGCGACACTGGAACGAAGCCACGTCGAATATACATTATTTTTCACGTGTCTATTTTTTCAAAAAAGTAAATTATGAAATTAAAATTTTAAAATAAAATTAGTGACCCGACACTCAGTCGATGTATTGTCAATGAAATTGTGTTCAATTTCATAGGTCAATGGAAGACGAGTTAATATTAATATTATTAATATAGCGGAATATCAAATAAGGTGAAAGCAACGTTATCCTAAAAAAAGAATAGAATATATAACCTAATTCCAATAATTCCCCTCTTTTTTTCATATATATTTTCCATAGTCAACTTGGTCAATTCCAATTTCCCATTTTCCAAAAGGAGTATTCTACATTTATTAAATATAAAATATTACAATTATAGATATTTTTCGGGTTATCTACTTATTTTGAATTATTTCTAACACGAACGAGGGCATGAGTTGTGTTGGGTTGAGAAAATCTTCGAGTCCAACAAAAAAAACGAGGGTTGGCTAGGTTGGTGACCTGGACCACCGAAGCATAGTTCCTAACCCAACCTAGAAGTATAGTTCACAATCTAACCCAACCCAACTCTCTCTTTTTCGGGTTAGATTGGGTTGGGTTAGGTTGTGAACTCTACTTCTTCTGATCACCGACCTAATCAACCCAACTTCTCCTGTTGAAGTCACCAACCTCACCAACCCTCATACTAGTTAACATGTTATATTAATAATTAAAATTTCATAAAACTTAAATATCAAGTATTCCCAAGTTACAACAGATCTCTGATATTAGTTACAAACGCTAAATATTTTTAATTTTCAGAGTAATCTTAAAAGTAGAGTAGAACATGAATGAATTATAACCCTATTTTCGAGTTAGTAAAGTTGACCCAGCAAAAAAAAGTCAACTCGTAAACCGACCCGAACTTTTATGGTTTGGACCGGGTAGTCCATGTTCATCCATTACAAACGTCAAATATTCTTAATTTTCAAAGTAATCTTAAAAGCATAGCAAAACACGGATGAACTAAAACCCTATTTTCGAGTTAGTAAAGTTGACCCAGCAAAAAAAAAAAAAGTCAACTCGCAACCGACCCGAGTTTTTATGGTTTGGATCGGGTAATCCATGTTTATCAGTTACAAATATCAAATATTCTTAATTTTCACACTAATCTTAAAAGCATAGTAAAACACAGATGAATTAAAACCCTTTTTTGAGTTAGTAAAGTTGACCCAACAAAAAAAAAAAGTCAACTCGCAAACTGACCCGAACTTTTACAATTTGGACCAGGTAGTCCATGTTAATCAGATTCTCACGTCATTTGAACACCTCTAATAGTAAAACTATTTCCTGATTCAAAATTCTAAAACGACGCCCAATATAAAATTACTCTAAACCCAACATCCTCGATATCAGTTTCATTTGAACGTGATATCCATTCATCTACATGTGAGTGACACAACAATTATTTTAAAAAATAATATTATATTTAAAAGATTTGTAGATCCCTTTACCGTACACATTATTAAATTAAAAAAACATAACGTAATCAATAATTAATATAAAATTTTAGGTTCTCAGATGGGCCGTTGAATAAAAAAAAATCTTATTTTTTTCAAGCACTACCAAGACTCGAAACCGTCACGATTAAATAATTAAAAAAGAAATAAATATTTTAATATCAACTAGACAAAGAAATTAATAAAAAAATAAAGAAGCGCAAAAACTCGAAACCGCTAGGTATTAAAATAAAATAAAAAAGACGTGGCGAAAATGAAATATATTTATTTTAATAATCAAGTGGGCAATAAAATAAAAAAAAATAATATTTAGGTAATAAAAAATAATTACTTTTTAATGCGATTCAAAAACTCGAAACCGCCATTTAATAATATTTTAATGTATATATATATTATTAAAAGAGTCAAGTAGGGTAAAAAATAATAAATAATTGTGGAGGTTCAATGAACCAGGATTGAATTTTATAATTTATAATAAAATAGTCAGAATATATTTATTTTTTTATTTGTAAAGAGAATTACTTAGAAATTTCCTCTCTCTTTTGAAGGCTGATTTCTTAATAAGGAAGTAACGATTTTCTAACGTTTTTTTATTATTTTATTTTTGGAGAAAATTGTTAATTTTTAAATTTTATGTTTTTTTAGTTGAATTAAAAGTCAATTTAAAACTAGTTTGTAAATTCATCTAATTATTTAATAAAAAAAGTGCAAAAATAAAATAAATAAATATATATATAGAGAGACAAAAACAAATCCTCTATCTGTTTTACATCAAGCAATACATAGAGTAACTCTCAAAGACGTGTAAGCGGATCAACTCATAAGTTCTCATTGAAATAGGATCCACACAACGAAAAACACTTGCCATTGTTGGTTATTAAGGGCATCCCGAAAACGTTAAGGTCGAAATATGACTTTCAAATTAAGTTCTGAATTAGTGGATGTTGCCGGGAGTGGTGAATGCCATATGTTAAAAAAGGAAGAGACTCGTAGAATAAAAATATATATATATTTATTGGTCTTAAAAGTTTTATTTTGGTCCCTATGAATCGGTCATATTTTCAATTCGGTACATACATTGTTATGAGTTCTAGTTTGGTCTCTGTAATTTAATGTTAAAGTTTCAATTTAGTTCTTATAATTTTAATTAAAAAGCGCATAAAAAATAATAAATTATAACTTTAGTCGGTGTAGTTTGAGACAACTTGGTTCCATTTAAAATATTCTATTTAATGGGTACCAAATAGGTATAGTTTTAATTTAGTCTATGAGCTATTAATAATTTCAATTTGGTCATATAATTTAATTTAGTTTTAATTTGGTCTTCATATTTGATTAAATCTCACAAATCATAATTTATAATGCTAAATTGAAACTATAAATTAATAAATAAAAAAACTAAATTTGTAATTTAACGTAAATTTAATTAATCATTTTAGAAAAATGGTTAATATGTAAATAATAAGTGTTTCTAAATATTTTTGGATTTTCTAAACTTTACACTTAAATTTTTTAAAAACTTTTAAAAAAATTAAAAAATATTCTTAAATATTCATAGGCTTTCAAAATTATTAAATATTCATAAGCTTTCAAAATTAATAATAACGTTGTACTAATAATACTAATAATAATGATATTTAAAAAAAAAGTTAAAATAAATTGTTCATAGTTTACATCCAAACTTAATGATTAAGAATATATTTATTTATTTATTAATTAATTTGATATTAATGTAATGGTTTAAAACTGGTTCTAATTTTTTAAGGGAAGTATTATGACAATTAAAATATATATTTTTTAAATTTTTTGATTATTTTATAACCAATTAGATGAATTTTCTAATATTGTCTAGTCACAAGCCACTTGCTAATTATTTATAAAAAAAAAAAAAAAAAAAGTCATACCTAATTAAGTTCTAGACAAGGACAAAGATTTATTAATATAATTATAATAGATAGGAAATAACATTATTATTTAATATAGCTACAAAAATTAATATGACTGATTTAAATTTTATGTATCGTAAAAAGTTAGAAGTTCAAATCTCTTACCTTCGTATTTGTCTTCCTCTTCTATAGTTTCTTTCTTTCTGCACGATCTTGGATGATCCATGCTTACTATAGACCAACACTCTACCACTCCTCACTCGAATTCCATGGCTCGGTGGCCTCAATGTCTTACTTGTTTGAGAACCTCTGTGGCTCCTCCTCCGTTTGCGAGACACCCGTTTGCTCCTTCTCGACTCAATCTTTTTGGAGTCGTTGCTCGAATCACTTGATGACCCATATCGATATTTTGCGTCTTCTTCACTTTCGAGTTCTTCTTCTAGGTCTCTTCTTCTATGGCGTCGTCTTGTTCTTTTGACACTGGCAAGCTTGATACACATGAAAGTGCAGCAGTACTCCCATGCATGGCAATAGGAAGCTAAACATGTCCATATCATTCTGCAGAGACCCCGACCGATGCATCCAAATATGCCAATTTTATGGAATAAATAGAGGAGTAAAAGAACTGCATTCAATTCCCAAAAAATATTATTCACATATATACTGAAACTAATGTTCCATGTAATAAACAACAAGTAATAATGCACATATATTATTTGGTACTCGAGTTCTAAAGCGTCTAAGGATTCTTAGAATCACTTGAAACTAAAATGGGTGATCCGGGAACAGCAACGGGAGAGGGCTCGTTTAGATCCCTTTCCTAAGGAATTCGTTTGATCTTGGGAGCCTATGATTTAGTCACACCAGGCATATAAAATTTTTTTGGGGATAAGCAGCCTTACAATTTATAACAGCTCAAGTCCAAGCCCACCGCTAGCAAATATTGTCCATTTTGATCTGTTACGTATCGCTATCAGTCTCACGGTTTTAAGACACATCTACTAAGGAGAGGTTTCCACACCCTTATAAGGAATGGTTTGTTCCCATCTCCAACAGATGTGAGATCTCACAATCCACCCCCCTTGGGGGCCCAATGGCATCACTGGCACACCGCTCAGTATCTGGCTCTGATACCATTTGTAACAACCCAAACCCACCGCTAGTAAATATTGTTCGCTTTGGCCCATTATGAATCGCCGTCAGCCTCATGGTTTTAACACGCGTCTACTTGGAAGAGGTTTCCACACCCTTATAAGAAATGCTTTGTTTCCCTCTCCAACTAGTGTTAGATCTCACACAATTACATCAGTACACCATACGCTATATGCTGATGAACTAAAACTTCATTCCCATAACTAGAAGTTATCAAATATGGATTATACACTTTCCATACTATATCGACTTAGTTGACGTTTTACCATTACATCAGTAAGCCATAGATATAGGCAACTCTAATTCGTAAACTACAAAGTCAAGAGACGAATTATATTTTGAAATATTACAGAAACAGTCAGATTTCTCCATACTACCGTATCGAGTAAGTTCTACTAATCGTGAACTAGAAAGGTTCTATAAATACTCGAAGCGGGTGGGTCTAGAATGCTAACAAAACTAAGGACGTTCACGAGTGATTTTGGTCGTTTCAAAATTACTTTTATCGTGCAACTTTTAGTTATTTTGGACACGACAAGAGTTACTTTGGCCGTTCCAAAATCACTTCAAAACATGTCTATATCATCAGATAACTTTGGACATTGATATGCAAGTTTTAAACTATAAGGCTGCCTTCTCCCAACCACAGAAAACAAAGAAATCCCTACATATTAGAAGTACCAAAATTCTCAAAGACATGGAGTTTCTTGTTTCACTCACCAAAGTATGCAAGGATCACGACCATGCCCATCTTTAGCAAATTGGCAACGCAGAAATTTTCTATGTAGCATATGAAATCCCATGTTGATCCACACACTGAACTGCCAACATGTGCGCCCAGTGACAAAATCAGGTAAACAATACTCAATCAAAAGGCACAAAATAAGACAAAATCCGGTAAACAGCACTCAATCAAAAAGCGCATAGAACATTACAAAATCAGGTAAATTATTAGGTTTATGAGCAGAAGCCACATGATGAGAAAAAGCAAAAGAAAAATGGTACCAACCTGCAGGATTTTCCAGAGAGAAAATCAAGTGGAGATCCAAATACTTTGTTAAGAGCCAAAAACAAACCAGAGGCCAATGAACTGGCTACATTACCCATTGCGTCGGATAGATTCAGCATTCACTAACAAAACAAAACAAAACACTCCTGCGAAATAAGATGAAAACGTGAAACATCAAGACCTAAACGGGAAAAATTGAACACAATAATAATCATAACTAGAACAATCGATCATCGATCATCGATCATTGGTATTTTCACTCGCAGATAAGATTTGCACTCCAGAACAATCAGAGAAGCTTGTTTGGTAAATCGAACTCGTAGAATCAATCATACACGCCATGAAAATTTAAAAATGCAAACACTCCAGAAAGTATTACATCGATAAGAATGTTTAAACAGCAAGGGGAAGTGAAGAATCGCATATGGAAGAAGAGTGGCGGGTGACTCATTTCCACACCGCCGGTTTCTTGAAAGATAACCGTCGGCCACAGCGCGTTGAAAGATCTGGACCTACGGCCCATTATGCAGATTCTGCAAAAGGCAGAGTTTTTATTTATTTATTTATTTTTTATTATTATTATTAATCTATTAGTGTTTTGAAATATGACACAAAATTGGAGAGACATTTTTTTAATATTAAAACTAATTGAGATATAAATTCAATATGACTTTAATAAATAAAAAATAATATTTTTTTTACAAATTAAAAATTAAAAAAATAATTGGACCACATAAATGTGGTTGAATGAACGATCTATTTATAATCAAAGAATACTCTCTTCCTTGAATTAGGCTTTTTGGGAAGCTCAAAGCATGAGAGCTTATGTTGACAATATTATACCATTGACGAGAGTCGTGTTCGTCTAATATGGTATCAGAGCCATGCCAATCGAACAAAAGTATTTGTGAGCCGGGTGTTCAAAAAATTAGATATTTTACTTTTATTAAAAAATGAATAAACACGTGAACCGATCGGACCAATCCAAAATATTTATGACTGGGTTGAGTTCATCAGAAATGTCTCAACCTGACCTAAAGCAATTTCTACCGAGTTTGAGAAATGAGGTTTTGTCAGTGAGAAATCAGACATAGTCAACTTGCTTTAATTGCTATTAGATTTGGTTCGAAACATGTAATCAATTTAAAAGGGTTACAATCACGACAAATTTTTAATCATTATTAGATATACAGTTAAATCTTATTTTCGTAACGTTTTAATGATTGGATTAGATTAGGCAAATCTTTTGGACAAGTCGATGATCCGACAATTCGAATACAGTTCATAGCCGAACTGAACCAACCTTTTATTTTTGGGTTCGGTTATCCGGTCGTTCTTCATTCTTTTAATTATTTAAAAAAAATTATACGTATCTTAAAATACATGTTACATTAATAACTAAAACCCGATAAAAACACAAATATCAAACATTTACCAGTCACAACACATCACTAACATTGGTTACAAACGTCAAATATTTTTAATATTTATAATAATCTTAAGATTACGGTAAGTTCGAATTGGGTTATAATCCTATTTTCGGGTTGGTCAGGTTGATTCGATTAAAAAAATGTCAACTCGTGAACCAATGTGAACTTTTCGGTTTTTCTCGAGTCATTCGAACACCCGGTTGGGGATTGGAGGACAATGAAATGGTGAAACAAATTCACGCGCGCAGAAGCGCGTGGGAATGTTGCGAAGATGGGAAGAAGGAAGGGAAGGAAAAATCGAGCCAAAGAAGCGAAGTAACGAAAACCGAAGCTTTCTCTCAGATACAAACGCAAAGCCAAGAGAGGAGAGAGAGAGAGAGAGATGGAGCAGTCTAGAGAGAGAAAGCAGAGCCCTATTTCTCTCTCCTCCTTCTTCCACCATGATTTCAATTTCATAGCATAACAAAAATCATCGACCCCACAAATTTGGTAAATTCTTCGTTCAACAATGCCAGCATCTCCTTCCTTCCCATCTGGTAAATTCTTCTGACCTAAAATTTCTTGTTTTCTCTCACTCCCCTGTTCTTCTTCTTCTTGTTGTTTTCTCTCACTCCCCTGTTCTTCTTCTTCTTGTTGTTTTCTCTGCATAATTTCATCATTTACGCATTCTCCACTACATTTCTCATGTTGAAATTCTGTTAATGCTGTGTAATTTTTGGTTTTCACAAAAACCTTACCAGGATCTCGCGGAAAATGGAAGAAGAAGAAGAGGGACACGCAAATTGGCCGTAGAAACAACTATGGGAATAGTAATAACAACGGCAGCAACAAGCATGATGATGATGATGAAGATGAAGATCTTGCCACTGTTGAAAATCAGGAAATGGAACGCGATAACGACGATTCTGAGGACCCTCAGCCGACGCCCAATTTGAGTCTTCAAGAGACTGAGCTCTTGTCGGATGATAAAATGCGAGTCTCTGAGTTTCCTCAGGTGGTCAAGCGGGCTGTCACTCGGCCTCACTCTTCTGTGTTGGCTGTTGTGGCAATGGAGAGGGCAAATCAAAGTAAGGTGCTGTCTGGGAATCCCTTGATTTTGGAGAATGTGTCTTACGGGCAGCTGCAGGCGCTGTCTGCTATGCCTGCGGATAGTCCGGCTTTGCTGGATCAAGAGAGGGTGGAGGCTGGGAATGCGGCGTATGTGATAACTCCACCATCGATTATGGAAGGTTGTGGCGTGGTCAAGAGGTTTGGGAGTAGAGTTCATGTTGTTCCTATGCACTCAGGTCTGATCCTCTCGTCCTCGTCAAGTTAGTGAATTCCTACGTATATATTTTGGGGGAAAATAATATACATTATCATCTGTACCTTACATTTGTAGTAGGATAAATTCACGGTTCTTGTTAGCACTATTATGAACAAATGAGAGCTAATTTTGTCTGCAAATAATAACTTCTTCGGGAATCCTAATGTGTGTTCTTGTGAAATGAAACGTTACCTTCCGTGTGAGATTCCACATTGGTTGGGGAGGAGAACAAAGCATTCTTTATAAGGGTGTGAAAACCTCTCCCTTGTAGACGCGTTTTAGAAACCTTGAGGGGAAGCCCAAAGATGACAATATCTACTAGTAGTGGGCTTGGACTACAAATAGTATCAGAGCCAGACACCAAGCGATGTGTTAGCGAGGAGGCTGAGCCCCGATGGGGGGTAGACCCGAGGCGGTGTGCCAGCAAGGACACTGGGCCCTGAAGGGAGGTGGATTGGGGGTACCACATCGATTGGAGAAGGGAACGAGTGCCAGCGAGGATGCTGGGCTCCGAAGGGATCTGTGAGATCTCACATCAGTTAAGGTGTGGAAACCTCTCCCTAACTGACGCGTTTTAAAAACCTTGAGGGGATGCCCGAAAGGGAAAGTCCAAAGAGGGCAATATCGGCTAGCGGTGAGCATGGGCTGTTACATAAGCGTAATATATGGTTGAATAGTTTGAATTTATAAATAGTTTTACTTACTGAGTTCTGTAATTGTTAGTATGATGCAGTTAAAGTGAGGTACTATTGGGTAAAAAATCATAATAGAATTTGTATGTTATGTTAGTGTTACATGCCTACAGCAGATTTCTATTATGTGATAGTTGATTTGTTGGAAACAGATTGGTTTTCACCTGCCACAGTGCATCGACTCGAGAGACAAGTTGTTCCACATTTTTTCTCTGGGAAATTGCCTGACCGCACTCCTGAGAAGTATATGGAAATCCGAAACTTCGTTGTTGCCAAATACATGGAGAATCCTGAGAAAAGGGTCACAGTTTCAGACTGCCAAGGATTGGTTAATTGTGTCAGTAATGACGATTTAACTCGAATTGTTCGATTTCTTGATCATTGGGGTATTATTAATTATTGTGCCCCGACACCTAGTTGTGAACCATGGAATAGAAGTTCATACTTGAGAGAAGATATGAACGGTGAGATTCATGTGCCATCAGCTGCTTTGAAGCCTATTGATAGCTTAATCAAATTTGACAAACCAAAATGTAGGCTCAAGGCAGTCGATATCTATTCGGCACGTTCATGCCATGATGACAATGATGATTTATGTGATTTGGATAACAGAATTCGGGAGCGTCTAGCTGAAAATCATTGTAGCTCGTGTTCTCGAACAGTTCCCATTGTATGCTACCAATCACAGAAGGAGGTTAGTTTCCCTATTGTACTCCATTGGTTATCTGACTCAAGTATTTTAGCATATGAAGCTTGTATATATGCCTGAATGAATGATGGTTGTCAGGGCAAAGATAAGTACAGTTAGAGGCAATAAATATAATGAAAATTAGAAAACAATGTTATAGTGATGTGTCGTGTGACATGCCCCTGACATTCGAAACCTTTTCCTGTTGAGAGTAAAATAAAAACGACAGGATTTTAAATTATTGAACACGTGGTTGTCTGGAACGGTAAATTCTTGAGACCTTGGGGCATAGGCCATTCAACTTTGTCGAGGGAGAAAAGGAGCGGAAATAGTAGTAGAATAGGCAATGTTTTCTACTACTATATATATCCACCGGTATATGTAGTAGTAGAAACCTGGAGTGAATTAGTTGTATGCTTGAAGAAAACATCACCGGTTGTTGGCATCCTTGCAACAGGTAGATGTTTTACTTTGCACCGACTGCTTCCATGAAGGAAAATATGTTGCTGGTCATTCGAGCATCGATTTTCTGAGGGTGGACATGACGAAAGAGTATGGTGAACTAGATAGCGAAAATTGGACCGATCAAGAAACTCTATTGCTTTTAGAGGCGATAGAATTGTATAATGAGAATTGGAATGAAATAACAGAACATGTTGGGTCCAAGTCTAAAGCTCAATGCATTATACATTTTCTCCGTCTATCGGTTGAAGATGGTATTCTAGAAAATGTTGATGTGCCTGGCGTTCCTCTCTCATCCAATTCTTCACATGGAAAAGATAACGAGAAGTCACATTCAAATATGAATGGAAATGTAGCAGGTACTTTTTAACTTTTAACTAATAGTTTCTCTCATAATTATGACTTTTTGACATTTTCTTTTTCTAAATATTTGTTTCTTTCTTTAGGATCTTCCTCTCAAGACAATAAAGAGATGCATGATAGACTCCCATTTGCTAATTCTGGGAACCCAGTCATGGCGTTGGTACGTGTCCAACACTGAGCTTTTAGCCCCTCCATGTGCCATTTCCATAAATTGCTCCACTCAAGTAAAATTTTCTGCTATCTACTTATTTTCATTGTGTCAGCGGCTCGTTTATGGGAATGAGTAATAGAACTAGAAAAAGGCCTGGTTGATGATTTGGAATAATGAAGTATAAGACAATTAAGCAGGGAAGAAAGCTGTGAGGAGGCTAACCTGTTTGAAGCTGTCGGAGTTCTGGAGTAAACTTGTTGTATAGTACTAATATTAGTAGCTTGTGTCAAAGTACTAAGCGTGCACACAAGATAGAATTGTAGGGTTAAGAAGCTTATCCGTTTGAAGCTGCTCGAGGCCTGGAGTGAATTAGTTGTAGTACTAGTATTGGTAGCATTTGTCAGAGTAATAAGTGTACACACAAGATAGAATTGTATGATTAGATGACTTACCTGTTTGAAGCTGTTTTAAATGGGTATGTAATGGCCTAAGCCCCGCTAGCAGATATTGTCCTTTTTGGGCTTTCCATTTCTCGGCTTCCCCTCAAGATTTTTAGAATACGTCTGTTAGGGAGAGGTTTCATATCCTTAAAAAGTGTATTTCGTTCTCCTCCCCAATTGTTGTGAGATCTTACAATCCACCCCCTTTGGGGCCCATTGTCCTTGCTAGCCCTCATTCCCTTCTTTAATCGACGTGGGACCCCTCAATCCCCACCCCATTTGGGACCCAACATCCTTGTAGGGTTAGAAGGTCGTCTAGAAAATAGTTGAGCGAGACACACTTGAATTGGCTTGATTCTCGGAAGTAAGTGAAGGAAAAGGAGAGATAAAGTTGAGCTCTTTTCTTATCTTCAACAAGAATGTAAAGTCATATACTTTAACTACAATTGTTTTAAAATCAATGGTAACTATGGGGTTTTCATTAATTTTACAGTTTGAAGTGTATTCACCTGATCTCAATGAACGATACACTGGGTAATATCTTGACTTGCTGCTGTTTCCACCATAGACGATTTGTCTTGCTCGGCCTTGAAAGCATGGGCTGTATTTCAAGCGGTTTAATTTCAAATTTCTACGTTTTATTCTGCTAAGAAGTAACTTTCATCGAGATGTTGGACTCTTCATTTCCAATTTAATATTGATCTAGATCTGATTGAAGGAGCTCTGATTATGAGGTTCTATTTAAAAAATCGAGTATTACTATTGATAAATAGGGTTGCAATTGATTTAATTTCTGGATATTTGCAAGGTTGCTTTTCTTGCATCTGCTATTGGACCAAGAGTTGCTGCATCATGTGCTCATGCATCCTTAGCTGCATTATCTGAGGACAGTGCAGCTTCTTCTGGGAGCATATTTCAAGTGGAAGGTTCTGTGAATCCTAGTAGGTAAATTGCATTTTTTACTCATATGACTTATTCAACTAGATACTTTTCTTCAACAAATGCTGTTAAGTTTTAACCTTGAACATTTGGAACGGTTCTTGCGAGTTGCTGTTTTATTTGTAAAACCTTATTTTATGGCATATATAGCTTTGCTTCAGTGTCGACACTGGATTAGTAGATCTTGAAAAAGGAGCTTGTGCTTGCATGTGTGTTTTACTGAGGGAAAGCCCAAAGAAGAAAAATGTAACCGGCATAAGGGCATATCCCATGGAAAATAAGGGCATCTAACATTTATCCTCTAAAATAAGGGCATCTAGGCTAATGTTAGATACGTGGGATATTTTAGAGGATAAATGTAACCGGCATATCCCACCGCAAACAAATATTTTCTTCTTTGGGCTTTCCCTGTCGGGCTTCTCCTTAAGTTTTTTTTAAAAATGCATCTGCTAGGGAGAGGTTTCCATTTCCTTAAAAGGAATGTTTGGTTCTCTCTCCAACCGATTTGGGATCTCCAATCCACCCCTCTTGGGGGCCCAGCGTCCTCGCTAGCACACCGCCTGGTGTCTGGCTCTGATACCATTTGTAATAGCTCAAGCCCACCATTAGCAAATATTGTCCTATTTGGGCTTTTCCTTCCAGGCTTCCCATCAAAGTTTTTAAAACGTGTCTGCTAGGGAGAAGTTTCCACGCCCTTAAAAGGAATACTTCGTTTCCTTCTCTAACCGATATGAGATTTCACAATAAAAACTTATTCCAACTTCGTCATAAGGTGTTTTAAGTACAATTGCATGAATTCTATATTTAAAGTAAGATTTATTTCAAGATTGAATATTCTTTTCCAATAATAAGGACGAATGTGGAGGTCACACATGGCAGAGACGGTGGCTCCTATGGAAAGCTTCCAAATTCAGTCAAGCTAAAAGGTTTGATTTGAGATTTGTTCTATTTCTTGACAAATGTTTTAGATTATTGTGAAACTTATTCAATATATATGGTGGATTCAGATGAGAATAAGGCAGAGACAGAGGTAACACTATTATCTGCTGAAAGAGTTAAAGTTGCAGCAAAAGTAGGTCTTGCTGCCGCTGCAACAAAGGCTAAATTGTTCGCAGACCACGAAGAACGAGAAATCCAACGGTTGTCTGCTAATATTATAAATCATCAGGTATGGCCCTTATAAATGAGTAGTAGTAGTAGTCAGAAACTAAGTGCCCTTTTCACTTAATCATTCAGAACTATACGTTTATAAGTTCATGTTCTGCTTGAACTACAATTTGGATCGTGTGTTTTGAACGAGCTACTACGACCTGTTTGACTGATAAACATTGGTTAGTCGTTGTGATATCCCACATTGGTTGAGGAGGAGAATGAAATACCCTTTATAAGGGTGCGGAAACCTTTTTCTAGCAAACGCGTTTTAAAGCCTTGAGGGGAAGCCTGAAAGGGAAAGCCCAAAGAGGACAAATCTACTGGTGGTGGGCCTGAGCCATTACAGTCATGATATATTTGAGCCTAGTTCTCGAAATGACATATGGAGGGGTTTTGAACGTGCAGTATTTGACCTTTTTCTCCAAAATTTCCTTGTTTTTACTTTCGACTCTGAATGGGCGATGTTTTATTAATTAAAAGCCTGTTCATCAGTTTAGGCAATAATTTTTTTTTTTTTGGGGATAAGATTGACTGTCTGTTGTCTGCTGGGAAAGTTGATATTTATGTGTTTCACTCTTAAGAGTAGTTGATGGTCTCTGTTGTGTCTAAACTTATGAACAGTTAAAAAGACTTGAGTTGAAGCTGAAGCAGTTTGCAGAAGTAGAAACCTTCTTGATGAAGGAATGCGAACAAGTCGAGAGGACAGGGCAGAGATTTGTTGCAGAACGAGCTCGAATGTTAGGTGTCCAATTTGGAGCTGCTGGAGTCAGCTCACCTGCGAGTTTACCGGGGGTTATTCCTCCCGTGGTAAACAACAATAGGGTGAGCTCACCTGCGAGTAGGCCGAATGTGATCTCGCCTCCACCATCCCAGCCGAGCGTTTCGGGGTATGGCAACAACCAACCACTTCATCCCCACATGTCGTACGTGCCCAGGCAGTCGATGTTTGGCTTGGGGCAAAGGGTACCTCTGTCAGCAATTCAGCAGCAACAGCAGCAGCTGGCCTCAACGACTTCGTCTAATGCTATGTTCAATGGCCCGAGCAATGCACAGGCTTCTCTCAGTCACCCAATGATGAGGCCAGTTACTGGATCCAGCTCTGGATTAGGCTGAACTTGGAAGAAGGTACGTGAATTCCTTTTAAGGTCGACGACGCGTGCAGGTTAGAAAAACGATAATATTCCATGAGAAAGAGTTGTCCATTCGTCTAACGTTTTCTTTCTTTGGGAGAAAACATGGGAGATTAACCAAAGAAAGAAAACAGGGGAGATTAACCTGAGGCAATAGTAGTAGGGATTGTAATTGCATTCAATTAGATGTGAAAAAAGGGGAACAAAAAGGAAGAGGAGAAAGTTAGTTGTTGTAGTGAAAAAACCCATTTATGAAAGTGCTTCCGTTCCCTTTCTTTTACCACCTGAAAGTGCTAGATTTCAGGTAGAGAGGGATGGTTGGAAGAATTAGTAATGGTAGAATTGGCTTCTCTTTCAGGATCTTTTTCCTACCTTCTCCACTTTTTACTTCTCTTCATCATCCATCTTTAATTTTCACCTCACCCCATTTCGTCCCTTTAAAAAGTGTGGTTGTTTTATTGAGTTGATTTGCCTACCCGTCTTGTCTTTACTCCTATATTAGGAGTTACTTCAGATTTTTTTGTAGTACGAGGATTCTTGATATGTTGACATATCTTGTTTTTACTCCTATATTAGGAATTACTTCACATTTTACGTAGCTTCCTTCCTTCAGTCTTGGATCTTTGATATGTTGACACGTTTTGTCTTTACTGTTGTATTGGGAGTTGCTTCACATTGTACATAGCTTCCTTCCTTCAGTTTGAGGATCTTCGATATATTGACATGCCTTGTCTTTACTCCTATATTAGGAGTTACTTCACATTTTTTCGTAACTTACTTCCTTCAATCTGTCTGAGGATCCTCGATATATTGACACGCCTTGTCTTTACTCCTATATTAGGAGTTACTTCACATTTTTCGTAACTTATTTCCTTCAGTCTGTAGATCCTTGATATGTTGACACGTCTTGTCTTTACTGCCATATTAGGAGTTACTTCACATTTTACGTAGCTTCCTTCCTTCAATATAAGGATTCTTAAAGTTGATTCTGTCTTTTGTTGAATTTTCTTCATGACTCAATAGATAATTTGATAAGCTAATGATTTTTTTTTCAGTGTTTCAAACGGTTAGCCAAGGCACAACCATTTATATTAATGTTAACATTGTATTTTTTTTTATAAAGATTTAAAAAAAAAGATGAAAATTTATTCAGCTTATTAATTTATCAATAAAAAATATATATATATATTTCCATATTCATTATTATTAAGCCTTCCTTTGAAATTTTGGTTCCTCTCATCCTCAATATAAATAAATAAAAAAAAAATTGTCCCTAAAAATTATGAACTTCTAATTTTATCAAGCATTAAAATGTTTGGATAGGAAAAAAGATCAGAAAAATAAAATAGCACGAGGAAACAAAGGTCTTAATATTTAAGGTTTATATTTCATATTTATGGGTTTTTTAAGAAAATCCCTATGATTCCAAAGCACAATACAATCGGGATTTAACGCTTCTTATTTCTACTCTTAAAAGGGCTTTCGAGGTACCTAAGCCCAATAACTCTAAAGCCCACTCAAAAGGACCACCAAGACGGGGCGAAAAATGGGCCTGGCCTCTATAAATTCAGCCCAACGTTTCATAAGCCCACGGTCTTATATGGTCCAATCAAAAGAGCCCAAATCCGGCCCACTCAGAATCACTAGTCGGACGGGGCGATGACTGGTACGACGAAAGCGACGACGACGAAACCGAGTTTCTGAACGGCGAAATCGACTTCTTACTGGAAACCGACCACCGCGGCAAAGTCTCCAACTCAGAGGCGTAATCCGGTTCGGGTTTCCTGTTAACAATCTTGCTCGCTTTCCGGTTCGGCAAAGGCGAGGAGAAGCAACCGACCGAGACCTGCTCGGGTTCGGCAAGTTTGGACTGGGTGGAAGACCATCGGTCGGACCGGGTTCGGAGGGAGTTGGAAGAACGGTGGAATTGGGTTGCAGTTACAGCAGGAGGAGGCTTTAGCTTCTTGTGTTGTTGAGGAGAGTGAGTGGGGAACTGGTGGAGGCGGTGGTGGTTCCTGGGGACGCCGGGTTTGATCTCCCATTTGAAAGGAACGGCAGCCGGTTGCCGGTAAAATTCATCAACGTCCATAGGTAGAAAGGTGTAAAAGGGAAGTGGAAGAGAAGTGGGGGATGAGATTGGTTAAGTAAGGGAAGAAGAAGAAGAAGAAGAAGAAGAAGAAGAAGAAGAAGAAGAAGAAGAAGAAGAAGAAGAAGAAGAAGAAGAAGAAGAAGAAGAAGAGGAAGAGCGTCCAAAACTGGAAATCTCAGCGAAATCAGAGGCATTTGAGATGGGATTTTGGTGGGTCCGCTTTGACTTTGAATTTGGAATAATTATATATAAAGACAAAATAAAAGTGCCTAACTTTAAACACACAAATTTATTATTCAAATATAATGATTTGAATTATGAAGGTTTGTCTCCGCTCTTCAATGTAAAATAATCTTAATTAGCCCACTTAATAAGAATTTCTGGTTTTAAATAGACTAAGTAATAATGATGATGACGAGTTGCTAGTTAATGTAATATTGAAAGAGATCCATCTAATATCGAATCAAATCTATTTGTGCCAATGACGTAGTTTATTTAAAAGTGTAAGAAACCCTAAAAAAAACACATTCTATTAAAGATCCTTGGAAACCTGTAGGGATGACTTAGTATTTTTCACAATTTGCATGATTTTGAGGATGACCGTAAACTCGATTTTAGGAATAGTGCTTCTTATGAGCAGGGTATGGTCATAGCCTTGGTTTCAACCATCTTTAGCTTTCAAAAAGACCCCGAAACTTGGTTCGAAACTCCAAACAAAATCATTGTGGTCTACCTTGGTCTATGAGGGTCTAGTCGGGACCTGAGGTCTACCTTGATCTATGAGAGTCTAGTCGGACTTGACCATAGTCGATTTCTGAAGAGTTTGGCTTCTATTTGTTCTCGTAATCTACATCATAATCATTGTCCATCTATACAATGAAATGGTGAGAAGAAGGGGCAAATTGCAAAGAAACCATGGAATGATGAGAAACAGGTAAAGGGCGATTTGGTAATTGTGGAATTTCAATATCACCTTCCAACATCTTCAAAGCTTCATCAATGGTGGGTCTAAAGGCCACATTCACATGAGCACAAAGCAAACCCACATGAACAAATCTCTCCATTACCCCTTTTGCCCCTTCTCCACGGATCGATTCCTCAAAAATGGCTTCCACATTCCCCACAAGCTTCCAAGCCCAATCCGTAATCAAATCCCAACTCTCCAACACTTTCCTCCCACTCATCATCTCCAAAATCACAATCCCAAAGCTGTACACATCGCTCTTCTCAGTCAGCTGCCCGTATAAACCATACTCCGGCGCCAAATACCCACGAGTTCCGGCCACCCTCGTCGTCAAATGCGACTGACCTTCTTTACTCTGCTTTGCCAAGCCGAAATCCGCCAGTCTAGCCCGCCATTCTGAGTCCAGAAGGATGTTCGTGGGTTTGATGTCGCGGTGGTAAATCGCCGGTTTGGTTCCATAATGAAGGTAATTTAGTCCTCTTGCTATATCGATGATTATGCCTTTTCTCTGCGGCCATGTTAATGGGTTTTTGCTGTTGTTTTTGATGAAGAGATGATCGCTGAGGTTTCCATTAGGCATGAAATCATAGACTAAGAATTTTCTCTTCTGGGATTTGAATTTCGAGTCGTTTTCTATGCAACAGCCTCTAAGAGATAGGAGATTTCTGTGTTTGATTTTGCTGATGATTTCGACTTCGTTTGTGAAATCTTCGTCCCTTTCTGAATCCAAATCAATGATTTGTTTCACTGCCACTAAACTTCCGTCTGAAATCTTGCCTTTGTAAACGAACCCATCGGCGCCTTGGCCGATTAGATTCCTCTGAGAAAACCCATTTGTGGCCTTTTCCAGCTCTGTTATACTGAACCATTTCGCCCCAAAGTGGCGGAGTTTCTGTTCTTGTTCTTGTTCTTTGAACCATTTCTTCTTTGATCTCAAAACCAAAACCACAACTACAACGAGAAATGTAAACCCGAAACCCACCGCCATTAAAGCGTTTCTGCTTAGAAGGGATGCTCTGTTCATCTTTGAGGGCTTTAATGACAACCCCATAATACAAGAAGCCACTCTGGTATCTTTAGGACCGAATTCGTTGGCAATTCCAGCAGCATAAAGAACAGTGAAATAAAAGCATTTAGTTCCATTTGGGTCTAGACCCATGAGGCGAGAGGTGAGTTTCATGCCGGCGTCGACACAGGTGCCGCAATGAGTCAGTCCAGTCAAGTCGCCACCGCACGCGGTGTCGACTGGGGTTGTAGAGCCGACTCTAGCAACCCAATCGTGAGTACTTAAAATTCCGGCACAGTTGGAGGAATTGGCGGCGAATTGAGATGGGTTTAGGAAGCAATTGGGGACGAGAGAAGAGGGGAGGGAGATTGAAGAGAGCTTGGATTGGAAAGAGGTGAGACATGAAGAAGAGGACTTGAAATTGGGGAGGTGGAAAAGGGAAGTGTCTTTGAGGCGTTGGGCTAGGCCGATGCCGAAGAGGCTGAGAAGGGTTTGACAGCAGGGGGCGGCGGCGTTTTGGCGGTTGCAGCTGGTAGTGTCCCACGGGATGGTTTGGACGTAGGTGAAGTCTATGGGGCAGAGAGAAGAAGAAGAAGAAGGGACGATGAAGAGGATTGAGAGGAGGGTGAGACAGAGGTAGTGGGCCGACATGTCGTCGTGTTCGTTGGGCATGAAAATGGGATTGGATTGGTTTTTGTAATGGTGGGGTTTGAAAGAGAAATTTCAGAGGGCGGCGAGGGCAGTCAAAATTGCACGTTTTGGGTTTGGTTTTTGTTGGGATTTGTTACGTGGGACTTTTTAATCGTATATCTATCAAATTGGTGTGCCTTTGTATAAGGCTGGCACAATTGACTCTAAATAATTATCTATTCTTTACAATTTCTCTCACGTTCAACTGTTATGGTCTGTTACTTGTCCAAGGCGTGTATTGTCTACGGCCGCATATTAGATGTCCTAATCATGCTTGTCTAGGATATATTGTCCAAGGCGTATTGCCTATGGCCGCATGTTAGATGTCCCGATCATACTTGTCCAGAACGTGTTGTCTATGGCTAAATATCCGTTCCAACCTCATTTTACATGCTTTCATCTTAGATAGACCTTTATTACTTCATGTTGTATTAATACGGGAGTGTATGACCATTCACCAAAATCACAACTACACCTATCAAGGTTAAAATGCTCCAAAATGTACTATAGAGGATATGACTAGCCGTCAATTCTTCCTACCCTGAGTTATATGTTATCTAAGCCATTGTGGTGTCTTTCTCGCTTATAGCCTATAACATTGCTTTCAAACTCTCTTTTGAAAATCTCTCTACCCCATTTTCTAAAACCTCATTCTCAAAACGGGGCCAGAAGCTTAAGCATACGTTTTCCGATCATAGGCAACGCGAATCCGAATTGGCTTGACTCACTTGGTGTTGGGAGTGAGTGTCACACAATCACAAAGTCCGCAGCCCAGAAAAGTGCGATTGTGACAATTAGCAAGATTAAAGTTGTTCTTCCAATGATTTCTCTTGTCCATAAGGAAATCTATCAGCCATTTTAACCCAAACTAGAAAGACAATTTCACATGCAAGCTGCCCGAACACTCACAGATATCAATCTTAGAAAGACGGGTCTAATTCAAAAAATATGCATAAATGAACTAGCACAGTTGGAAAGCATCCCTAAGTTTCCAATGTTTGCACAAAGGTATTTCTGTGACAGCTTATGCATAACAGGTTGATAGAAATGGTCTATCTATTTGATTTGATGTTATGTCACTCACAGTAAATTACAACTAAAACTACAAACATATCCAACCTGATGCACAATCACAGCAGAATTCAAGTGAGCAAAGAATAAAACCTGTGAATTAACATCAGCAACCTTATCAGCTTCGGCCCAAGCAAGCTTGTTGCATGATGAACCTTCTGTTCTTACTGCAAATCATGGAATATCTGTAGGGAACATCACGGTATTATCCGTCGACCATCCATCATGAATACAATAACGCAATATAGAGATCGAGCAAGAATAAAACCTGTGAAAACGTCTGAACCATTGGATATCCCTATGCAATTACATTGTTGGCTTCCTTATTTGCAAGATCAAACTTGTCACTATTACGAGCAGCAAAAAGAGCACACAAAACAACCTGAAGGACGACATGACGACGTTCGAGAGTAAGATATGAAGCATCATCTTATTAATAAATCAACTATTGAATTGTCAAAGCCATCAGCAGGTGTATCTAGCATATGCTATAGTTGAAGGAAAAACAGAACACTCAAACTCCTACAAAGAGTAAGATATGAAGCATCATCTTATTAATAAATCAAACCATCCAAAAGGAAAAATCAGTCACAAATAGCTAGTTCTGGTCATTCTCCAATTCCACAGTTTCAAAAGTATCATTAGCCAACCAAAGAGGTCCATGGTTCTACCTCTACACATGAAAACGGTGAGACATTCGATAGTCAGAACATACAAGTTGAACCGCTACTAACCTGAGGCATCAGACGCAAAACGTAGAAAAAAAGCTTAAGAATCTTCGAGAAACGTACAGTTCAGGAAATTTAAACGACGCCTAACCAACGTAACTTCCTCACCATAACAAACTACTTCATATTGTTTAGTCATCTCTACTTCTCGAGATTTTGGAGTTACATACACGTCTCCGAAAACCAAAGTTATCCATCTTCAAAAACCATAAACCTAGGAGTTATGCTTTGAAACAACTTCAAGATGACTAGATAGCTTAAAAAAATTAAGTTTATTTTACATCTATAATCACCTTTCAAAAGCTCGGTTTTTTTTACACGTTTTAAAAACAGATCAGAATAACTCCGAGTAAAACAAAGGAAAAGAAGACAACAAGACAAAGATATTTACACTGAATATTTGTTTTCGAAAATACAAAACCTTTTTTGGAAACAACTTCAAGATAACATCCATTGTTGTGAAGAAAAAAGTTGATGAGAAACTGAGAAATAGAACAGATATACAAGAACTCGAAAACATGAAGAGCATACAATTTACAGCCATTCTAGATACCCACCATGAATGATCACCTAAATCTATACTAAAATACCAATTCACATATCACATCTCTTAAATGAAATCTCTGCTTATTATGTACCTTACAAGAAACCCCATGAGGATTCTTTGTAGCCAATGATGCTTTCCTGCGAGCCTACACCACCAAATCAAAAGAGAAGGGGAAATAAGCCATTAGTAGCACAAGCATGAGCTAAGAGTAAGAATTAGACCATAAATGGAACTAGATAGAGAGATCCTTACTGTTCATCATGGAAATGATAGACTAAATAATCCCCTGTGCAATTATATATTGTCATGATCGGCTACACGGGTGGATAAGGAGATAGTCAACCGTAAAACCCTGTTTTCATCCACTGTGAAAGGTCCAGCTATTGTCTTTGCTCATTACGGGCATCAGTATCCTTTCCTCGACATAACGAGCTTTACTTTATCTACTTCCCTGTACCTATTTTCTATTCCATGTCTTATTCTTTGATGCACTTCTTCATCTAGTAAACTAGCTTCACCTGCTGAGTTCAGCAGATTACATACCAACTGATACGTATATTCTCTAGGCACAGAGCCTCCCTCGAGCAACTCGAGGAAGAAATCACGGGCCTCAATTACCTTTCCTGCTTCACATAGAGCATGAATAATAGGAGTATAAGAACTTGATGTGGCAGTTCCATGGTTCATCTTTTGCATCATCCTCAACATCTTGATTGCTTGATCAATCTCGTTCACAGCACTATAGTATCTAATAAAAGAATTATAAGTAACCCGATTAGGAGTACATCCCCTCTTGTTCATATCCTCAAACAATTCCAATGCCCGCTCAATTCGGTATGTTTTGCAACATCCATCAATCAAACAATTGTAGGTAACAACATCAGGTACAAAGCCCTTAAATAACATGATTCTAAACAAGTGATTAGCTTCCCACAGCCTCCTTCGAATGGCCTTTCTGCAACCAGTTTGCAAGCTGTATTTACAATAAGAACTAATCAGAATTGTATACGTGAAAACGTCTGGTGGGCATCTAAATCCGGGCAACTCCATTTGCTCCAACAAAAACCTAGCCTTCTTGAAATTCCCAATTCTACACAGAGCATTAATAACAGTATTATAAGCATAAACATCAGGCTTACAGTGAAACTGTTTCATCCTATAGAATGCAGTTAGCGCTTCATTCACTAATCCCTGTTCTCCTAGGACTTTTATCAAACAGGTTATGGTCGCAGTAGTAATAAGCCCACCGCCTCTCCTGGACATTTCCTTAAAAAAATTCCAAAGACGCATCGATCTATTCCCTCGAGCCAAAACGCAAGCCATCTCTCGGCAAGTCATTTCGTCGTGTTGAAATCCAAAATGGGTTTCGACCCAATAAAAAAACTCCAACGCTTTATTCAATCCAAGCTCGACTTTGAGAGGATCCCTGTTAGCAGCCGGGCCAAGAACAAGCACATTGTTCTGAAACTTGTATGCCTCCTCTTTCAATTTCCTTTGCTTGAGAGGAGCGCGATGCCGAAATCCCTTTTGGATACCAATGGATCGAGTTGTTTGAAAAAATAAACGAGGTACTGACCGTAGAACATCGGAAACAGTCTCCGAACTCCAAAGCTGGTGGCGGGTGGGGGAAGTAGTGGCTGCACAATGGATGTGGGTGTCGAAAGGGCGGTTTTGAAGCATTGCCGCCAAGATTTGGTCTACGAGACGTGGGTTCCTGAGACGAAGAGGATTTCGTTGTGCCATATTTTAGAATGATTGTAGAATGCCAAGGTGAATGGTCTTGGTTAGAACTTAGAACATTCAATATCTGGTTGGAGGGGTTCGAACCCGTTCGAGCTCATTTTAATAAAAATTACCGCTCAAAATTATATTACAAAAATCACTTAAAAAATTACCACGCTCGATAGCTCATCTTGTATACATAAAAAACGTCGTTGAATTTAATAGCCCGTGATTAGCTCTAACACTCACGCAACTATTGCTTATAGGTGTATATAGGTTTGGTTGGATGATAACCCGAGCTCGTCTGCTAGGGGAAGATTTCCACACCTCTTAAATGGTGGTTTGTTCCCCTCCCCAACCTGTGGGCCATCACAATCCACCCCCTTCGAGGCCCAGCGTCCTCGTGCTCTTTCCTTCCTCTAATCGATGTGGGATCGCCCCCAAATCCACCCCCTTTGTGCCCAGCGTCCTTACTGGCACACCACCTCGTGTCTACCCCTTTCAGGGGAGGAACAGCGAAAGGTTGGCATATCGTCCGGTGTCTGACTCTGATACCATTTGTAACAATGGCATATCGTGGCACACCACCTCGTGTCTACCCCTTTCAGGGGAGGAACAGCGAAAGGTTGGCATATCGTCCGGTGTCTGACTCTGATACCATTTGTAACAATGGCATATCGTCCGGTGTCTGACTCTGATACCATTTGTAACAATGGCATATCGTCCGGTGTCTGACTCTGATACCATTTGTAACAATGGCATATCGTCCGGTGTCTGACTCTGATACCATTTGTAACAATGGCATATCGTCCGGTGTCTGACTCTGATACCATTTGTAACAATGGCATATCGTCCGGTGTCTGACTCTGATACCATTTGTAACAATGGCATAT